GCGTGTGTTGGTCTTCAGCAGAGATAAAAAATGTCGTCTGCTTATTATATTTATAATAATAAATAATCCTTATTTCATAAACGATAAGGTGGCATGTTACTTGTCCCTGTCAATTAGGCTCTATTTTATCTGCGTAGGCTGTAGATGAAAAGAATCTTTTATTTTTGTGTGACCTAGTTTACAGTTGGTTTATAAATACTCTTGAAGCTAAGTTGGTATGTAGGTTGAAGCGGCGGCTATGTGTTTCAGGTTTAATTTATCCGACAGCGTGAAATGAGGATAATGCGTTTGTTGGTCTGGTTTTAAGTTTTAAAGACAGTTTTGTTTTATGGAATGTCGACATAATAATATAAATTTTATTAAAAGTTAAAATAGAATTTTTAATATGTTGCCCTATTTGTAAAGATTCTGGAGTAAAATGTTTGCTTCCGATTGGTAAAATGAGGACAAAAACCAAACAAGCTATTCAATAGAATAATGGTTAATTTTCGGATTATTTAATTTACATTGTAGATTATAATAAAATGCAGTGAAAGCGCTTCACTTATTTAGATTTATTTGTTTATAGTATAGTAGTGGTATAATAACAATTTATGGTATAAAAAAATATCGAAATCGCCCTACAGATCGCGGAAAGTGATTTTGTTTTAGGTAAACTATGCATAAATTACTATCTACTTAATACCTCGAAAGAACAACGGTCAAAATGGACTACGAAAAAAAAGTTCGTGTTACCAAGTTGAAACTATCACGAAAATGTAGTATAAGTTGAATGTAATTATTATATACCAACAATTTATTTTTAAAAGCTGGGAAAAAAAAGATAATCCTCTCTAAAATCTTTACTTTTTAGAACGCAGTTTAAATTATGTTATTTATGAACGCATCTTAACAATAATGTCATTACTAGAGAAGTCCATCTCTTTTCAAATAACAAGATCGATTTTATTTCTGACTAATTGAATTTGATACAAATCTTATATTATTTACTCACCGTATAAATCCATGAAAATTATAAAACTTAGATAGATTTAAAAAAATAAAAATGCATTTATTGAAACAAATGAAATTAAAAACTAATCGTTATTCATATAAATCGATATTACAGTAATCAATCGATTGATTTTTTTATACAAGTATTTGTAGACGATGTTTTGGCGCCGACCTTTTGTAACTTTGGCGGCGATTTTGTAACTTTGGCGGCGATTTTGTATTATCTTCTGTATTATGGGGAGCATAGTAATTGAGATCTGTGGAGAAATACCGGATTTCGCTGCATTTATTAGAATTAGACTTAAATATAAATAAAGTCTCAATTATAAGGGGTAGAATTAAGTCGAGACATTGGGAGGAAACAATATTATGTGTACATTTTAATAAATAATGACACATCCGGGTTAGATGGCCTATAGTAATTGTCTTATTGGTCGATGTACACTGGGATGCTGTGCTCATATAATGACCACAGTTTGGTATCTTGGATGGGCCAGACACGAACAGAATGTAGCTGCTCCTGCACGATTCCGTGATGAGGTATTCATTAGAGTTGTAATAAAGAAAAGAAAAATCAACATGTTGTTTTGCTAACCCTTTTGAAATTAGTATTTTCACTACTACTTTATATACGTTATAATGTAAGCTAGAAAATTAGAGTTATTGAGAGCAATCTTAAAAATTTTATTATTTTTTTTTTTGAGGTTCTTTGGTTCACAAAAAATTATTTTATTTCTTACAGTGAATAAAAATAATATATCAGATATGGAACAAGTTTGAAGTATTATGTGAAAGTATGGACTTCTAGGACCACGATTAGGTATTATCTGACGTATGCTTTACATATTTCAACTGTAATATATCTAAATCAAAATGCTACAATTTAAATAATACGACATAACCTCAAAACATATTACACAATTACTCGATAATCCCAGCTTTTAAAAATATATTTTTTGTTCTAGTTGCATAGGCAAACAAAATAACATATGTTTCATCAAGTTAAGTTTTATTCAATTTTACTAGTCCAAGCATGTTAGGCCGATGGCCATTGTTCTTTAATACGATCGCTACGATTATCACGTGACCTACGGAAACAAAATAACTTCGTCGTTTATCATGTTTCGAAATAGTAATCATCGCGTTATATTTTGTCTTTGTATAATTGTATTAGTATTAAGAATTTATTATGAAAGTTTAAGCTTAACATACGTGTTACGGGTGTGTACGTTAGCTTCCTGTATTGGATCATAAGAGCCATTAACACCCAGTTTTTATTATCTTTTATAACAGCCTTGTATCTGTGTCGATTACAGATCGTAACAAGTTTTTGAGTTTGACATAAAACCACCTATTACAATATTTATTTCGTTTTACTTCTAATCATACCAATAAATATCGGTATTCCCGATTAATTGACAGTTAATTAGTTGACTGACCTTTGTTCAGCTGTATTGTAAATTGATGCTATCAGCTACTCGGCTGATCGAAAGTCAGGCCGTTAATTGAATGGCGTCATTCAATTAACGGGTTAGCCGTCCAAAAGTTTGCTGATTGTACCACTAAGCTGCGACATATATAACTGGAGAAACCGTTGTGCATTAAAAATTTATATGTACAGTCGAACACAAACCTCCTTTTTGATTTTGAAATCTGTTAAAAATAAGATACGAATGGATGTTAATCTATCAATATTGGCAATTATTTTATTCATCATAGTTATGTCACAGTGTATACCAAAGATATAAGAGAATAAATAATATATGGAGATTTAAAGTCGAATTATCATTTAGTATGTATTTCTGAACATTTTTAAATGGCATATTTTATACAAATCTTGTCCTGATAATAACAATCACAACAAAAAAGAATTATCTAATTTGGTACAGTCGTTTATTGAACTTATCCATCCGCGTACACACATAGTCACACATTATCTTTAAAAAATAAAAACAGATCGCCGAACAGTTTTTATCTTATATAGATAATGTTTAATTTTCTATGATATTATTTTTGACTCCATGCATACCATCGTAGTAGATTTAGAACTTTGTTTTCACAAGGTTTCAAATTTAATTGGAAATATTGACATCTTACAACTTGAAAAGTTATTTGTTTTTACGCATTTGTTCTATTTCATTATTGAATGAATAATATATTAAGCTTGTTTTTTTACTCAGGCACTCTGAATCCACATTGACCTATCGGAAGTTTCACTGCAAAGTAAAACTATTAGAAATCTTCTCGTATAGTTTGAATGCCTGGAAGGTAAATTATAAAGTACAGCTATTATTATTTTAACAATGAGTTTTCTGTAATGGCGTCCTAGAGGGGGCAGCACTTAGGCGTCTCGGACGATAAACTGTCAAAATATGTAAAAGGCAATTTTTGTTTGCAGTACCTATTTGTGCAAATAGAACATAAGGGCATAAGTATCCTACAGGAAATAAAAAATAAATAAAAGCGGTAGCCTGTACGTATTCATAGATATAATTTTACTCCAATTCATAAGAAATGATAAGAAAAACGGAAGAATATTATCTACATTATCATATTTTAATAAGATTTAACCTAATACAAGTGACCTTTTCGCCACTACGCTTGAGCTGAATTTTGAGTTTGTAAATTGTTCTCTGTGCGTACAGATAACGCTGTTTCGATCTGACACACAGAAAGCGTACTTTACCGAGAAAAATGTCAAATGCCTTCATTATTTAAAGATTATATGCTCTTGTAATTTTTGTTTCTTTGAACTCCACAGCGTATATGAGCACAATAGAAATAACCACTCCACACCCTGCAACTTTATTATGGTAATAAAAATTTTAAGGAAACTGTTGGCGACTGTAATCCTGTCTGCTGCCGCTGTGGTGTGAATTGCCCCTTATATTTTAATAGAACTTGACATTGAGTCATTTGCCACGTTAGGTCATTCAACCTAGAAGTATTTAATCACAACAAACGTAATAATGTAGCAGAAAAACGAGACAACCTTTGTCACCCATTGATAGACCTTCAATATCTAACATGAAGTATTTTCCTAAAAAGGACCTGCGTTGATTATTTTCAATTTTAAACCTTATGTTTTGCACAGCAGAATCTATATTCTGATTTGATCCGATCATTTGATTATATTTTTATTATATAAATAGCTTATGTGTTGTAGTGGCGTTATGCCAAATCTTAGATTCAGTGTATTATGTACAGTCGTGATGGCAAGTGTTGTGTTTTCAAAGGAAACCAATATATATTTAATTAAATTAAAAATGAAAAATAACGTTCATAATATTGAATAATATTTTTTAATATCGTACTAATAATTAAAAGATAATCAAAACTAATTATTTTTATATAATCGATAATTATCGTTTTTGGCAGAAGTGCAATGATACTGTATGTATTATTAATCAAGGAAACATCTTGTGTATTGGTTTATTATTTAAATAGATTTGTCATTTAAAATACGTAAGTAACTAGCCATTAAAATAAGTATAGCAATTAAATATTACAGAAAAACGTTCGTTATATCCCTAAAATAATCAATACATTAAAGTAAATTAGTTTGGTAATACTGAACTACTTAATATAATATTTTTAGATAGGTATTATCATTTAGTTTAACGTGTTTTGATAAAATTACTGTAGAGAAAAACTCGCTTGGTTCTTTAAAAACATCTTGATTACGTATTATAAATGGTTGGATTCAAACGGACTCTTTCCTAACTTTGCATAATCACAGTAAATAAATAATAAACTCTTAAAAAAATAATTATGGCCTTATAAATATTGCAAAAGCATTTTCTCAAATAAAATGTAGTTGCATGTTAAATATTCAACTCTCATTTGTTTTGTTGTTAGTATTGAAGTTTATGTATAATATAATTGTAACATATTTTTTGTTTTTTATTAGATGTAATATTAGGGCTAGGTTTTGACAAAGACATTATTGTGATGTGTTAAAAGTGAAACGAAGAAAAAGTTATACGACTTAGAGTAATGGATGAGGATTCGGATAGGTTTACACTGCCAGCGCGTGCCGAGGCCGTGGTGGAGTTATGGCGGATGAAGCTCGCGGAGGGTGTTTTGTCACCCTCACACTTCCAAGATCACTGGCGGGTGACCGTGCCGAGGATATACTCACCGCAGCCAAACAGAACTTCCTTGGGTGAGTCACTGAAATATATATTTTTAAGTATATAAATAATAATCTAGGGCAGCGATTTTCAACCTGTAATCCTTAACACTGCGAATGCGCCTATGAAATCACAACTCAATAGTAACATTAACACAAAATTAATTTAACAGGTTCGGATGTAAACTACTAGTATGATCTTTCATATTAACGTGTTTTTTGCAATATATATATATATAAGATATTCGAATTGATTGTTTAAAAATTATCTCATGCCGCATGTCCTAGGAGTCCGTGGACGAAAAAAGGTTGGGAATCGCTGATCTAGACTAATAACTCTATCTGAAAACTTCGTTTATTTTTACTACTGATTAAAAAATGGCAAAATATGAGTGTCGATAAAAAATATATATTAAAACACAAACTTTTGATCGGCTCATTAAATTGTTGGTATTTTTTGTAGACGCTGTAAAAGATCTCCATTACATTTTGTTTATTATCAAATGGTATAAAATGGGCTCCCGCCCGCTGCTAAGAAACGACGTAAAGTACGTCGGTAGACTGTAGCTAACATCAGTTGCCCTCTTTCCATAACCATATTTCTTTAACTGTAATATTTTAGATTGGGTCTTCGATGAGGAGCTAGCAACGAAGTTACTGATCCATCCCTTAGAACAGTTCGTGTGGGGCTCTAGCGATAGTGCGCAGCCGCCGCCTCCGCGTCGCTCTACGCTATGCGGGCGCGTATTCAAGCAGGGCGAACCAGCCTACAGTTGCCGCGAATGTGGTTCGCACTATCTTACTATCTTTTTTTTATACAGACAACATAACGCACTCCCGGTGCGACACTGTCACTTATGCAAAAAATTAGTTTTCAGGAGAAGAGTTTTAAACTCTGCCACCTCACAAAACAATGACTTTAGAAGATACAGATGAGATGAATCATACGGAACATAGTTCCGTAGTCATAGTCCCTGCAAAAGGAGCATTATCGCATCAAGTAAAGGGGGCTTTAGGACAATTATTACATATTTAACTAATTTTTGTATTTTTTGCAAAAGTGACAGTGTCGCACCGGGGGTGCGATAATATGAGTACATATAATACCCATTAGTGATGTAACGACTGTTATTTTCGTAACGTTCCCTAAATCGAATGCTAACACGAATATCTACTATTGACATTCGCGAACGCCAATGCGAATAAACAGTTTATGTTAATATAGCTCCAGACTATATGTGAATATTTTTAATGTCGTATATGGAGATAATCACGTGATATTAAAAACCATTTAAAACTTAATACTGATAATCATTTCGGAGAAGAATTTCTTTCTGTTTCTTTACATTGCATTATATATTTTTTTGTTTTCTAAGTTCTAATTAAAAGTTCTTTATATAATTATTATTATTTACTACGCATATCCTGTAATATATATAACCCTTTATCTTGTGTCACTCTGTATGTTTATGAAAATTGCATTAAAATCTTAGTAATTTAAAATATCTCTATAAACAGTGGGAAGCAACTTTGTTTTGATACTATGTGTAAATTTATTATAAATCTTAATCTTAAGCTCTTTTATTGAACTTTTTAAGACCGACACATAATTTGCAGTGAGTCGGACTTTACACGGAAGTTACTGAGAAAAGGAACAATTATGATATAGTCATGAAGGCCGCGCACTTCGATCGTTTAAACGAAGTATCGTACCACTTTATAATTAAGTGTAATTCAAAGTTAAAAAGTCCTTTGCAGAGGACTATTATTTTATCAATTGGTAACATCATCATTATTATTGGAGTAAAACTGTATGAAAATAAATTTAGTTGTCCCTCACAAAGGATTATAAAGGATGTTATGACACTATTCAAATTCTCATGGAATTGGTATATATATATTATTGTAGTAAGTTCATATGTTATATAAATTATGCATTGCTCTGCGAATTTCACATATTATACAATATAACATATTATACACTTTGCGAATGCGAATATTCAAAAATATCCGAATCTGAATATTCGTTACATCACTAGTAGGTGACATGAAAGTAAATACAAATTGCCGGAAGTTTGTATAGGTTATTAATAATAATCGCTCACGGTTAAGAGAAGTTTCGCTTATGGTTTCATTTGTTTAGTTTATGGTTTACTTTCATGTTATTAAATGGGAACTTCACTTCGACATGTTAAAACTTTAAAATTGGATATAAAATAGGCTTCAATATTTAAGTACTTAGTATTAGAAACGCCTTTACCTAATTTTGATTTATAAGTCTTTAAAAACAGAAATGGTAGATGATTTTAAATTTATATTACACAAAACAGTCCGAATACGGCTTTTACAAAATGACAATTACTCGGACCTTTTGTATATGTTTAGATATGACTTTTATTATCATTGTGTGTATATCATGGCTGTTGCTACAATTATAAAAATGTTTGCTAGGTATGGATAACACTTGTGTTCTATGCGTGGAGTGCTTCAAGGTGTCAGCTCATAGACACCACAAGTACAAGATGGGTCAATCCAGTGGTGGTGGCTGTTGTGACTGCGGTGACACGGAGGCTTGGAAGAGAGATCCCTTTTGTGAACTGCATGCGGTAATTTTTTTTTTTAATAATCAGTAGAAAGGTTTCCTTGTTAGTATTATTTACAGTGTGCTTATTAAGATAATCACGAGATTATCCGACTCGAAGGACCATCTAGGCAATTATTTTGTTTCTCGTTATAATCTATCTTCTGCATAAATAGAAACGAGTCGTTAAATGTTTTGCTAAGTGCAAAACTTGAGAACTGTTAAACCTATTTGCCTGATTTTAGGGGAGAAAAAGCGACAAAAACTCAATTAAATTTGATCTCAATTAAAGCAAAACAAAGGTGCGTCAGGGTTACCTTTGATATGCCTTCAAAAAAGGTTTCATATCATTAGGGCCAAATAGATTTTGCAGGAACAGATAGTAATGAATAATTATCAATTTTAATTAAAAGTGTCTCTAAACCTGACATTTAAAAATATGTATATGCTAACCTCTCAGATTATATGGCCTTAGTTTATTCAGTCTTGTATAATATGCTATGCGTTAGGGGAGTTTTAGCTATAAAATGCCTACTACTCAACTGGAAAAACTAAAATAGTTATTGAAGAACATCCTTTCCATTATTGAGACCAATGCAAACACTCGTTTTGACAATACCACATCATCTGGCGATGGAAAAGGATTAAAAATGCATAAGAGGCATGGTGAATGAAGCTAAATATTAGAATCTAATTCATATTTTTATGTGTATAAAGTAGACCAATAAATCTGTCGCTTTGAAATACGAAGTTTAAAACTATAAAAATTTAATAATTACATTGCAGGCTCCAGCCGGCGACGATCAATCACAGTCTAATATAAACCCCGAGGTGGTGGAACGTATGAAGATAGTAGCATCGGTTGTTCTATCTTACTGCTTACGACTTCTCACGCATGACCATGCGCCGAGTTTACCCAATGATCTCAGGTACTTTACATATAGAGTTAATTTTCGTACTTAAGATACAAAAACAGCAAAATTCAAACGTAAAAACTTGTGGCGATAAGTCCTCTGTCTATTTTATAAGGGTTTTTGCATTAAAATATAGATAGAAGATATTATCATAGTATGGATATGCTCTCAATCAAATGTTTTAAATGTGAATTCTTAGTTTAAAATAAGAAAAATATAGTTAAAAGAAAACCGCTGTTATCGCGATATTTTTGCTTATTTTCCAGTCTATATACATTTTTATACTGATTGAAATCTATAAAACTATTTGTTCCTATCTAATAAAGTTTTATTCTCAGTCGATTTGAACGCGAAATGGGGTAATTAAAACTAAAATGAAGCTTTTTGGATACTAATTAAAAAAAGAGCAATAATTCACCAGTTCCAGGTGTCAGAAATGGGATTTGAAGGAATCCTTTCGCAATTTGGGGAACTGCCTGAGACCTAACGAGACTGACGAAATTCTTATGCAATTGTCATCTTTCTCATCTTTTCAGACTAAAGGACACGGAAAAAGATCTCCTACAGATATTAGATTCGCCGGACTGTTATTGTACAGTTCTGTATAACGATGAATCGCACACTTTTGAGCAAGTATGTATTATTATCGTACTAATATTATGAATGTTTAAGTTTGTGATGAGGGATGTATGTTTGTTATTCATTCACACAAAATGTACTGAACGGATTTTGATATACAGATAACGGATTTCGATGACATTTTGATATACTGTTTTCATGTTAAATTTTTTACATCTGCATTAATCCGTTTTTTTTTTTCATTTGGATAGAATTATCGTGTGAAATTAAGATTATAAATACATTAACGATTTTTAGTCGATCAATCGATTGTATGTTCACTATCAATTTAGATCGTTAAATTTGTCCGATTGTTTATTGAAATATGCGTCCACTTTAATATAACACCGTACTGATTTATCTGAGTAATCAAATTATCGTCTGACTAAATAGTGCGTACTGTGGAGCGATTCTGTAAAAATCCGAACCCGCATTCGAATTCACTCATGTGTCCGTTCTTCGAAAACGACATCCGCTGAACTTTGAATTGGTATTAACGTTTCTTGGCATAACTGATGTGAGATAGAACTTCTGAGATAAGTATATAACCAATCAATCTTGTTTTGTATTTTTCTTGAATTTGTACGCCAAATTCGGTCAAATTCGAATTTTTACGGAATATCTCTACTGGGTCTGAAACCGTCACCCCAAAAAATAGTATAGTTAAATGCCTCTCAAAATTCTCCTAGACATCAAGTAATAACTTTCACAGGTGATCACCACGCTGACTAGGGAGATGAAATGCAACCACCGTGACTCGGTGGAACTGGTGACGCACATAGACCGTGAGGGTCGAGCGCTAGTCAAGTGTAACTCATTCCAGGTCTGCGATAAACTCAAAACGGATATCGAACTGTAAGTAAATCTATTCTATATACAAATGAAAAGTAAATTAAAATAATGATTAAAGACAAAAATAATTTTATATGCAATATTGGATTCGCTTCAGACTGGAGTTAAACGATTAGTCCATATCGACCTCTCCAAAGAATAAAGTTGCACCTGTGTAATCACTACTTTTTAAGAGACATCTGGTATCAATTATTCTAGTCTAGTGGTTTGCTAGTTTTGGAACTGTAATTGATTTCAGTAGTAAATTCACAGGTAAACTGTCGAAAAATTGTGATCAGTTATATACTGCTTACAATTTGACGTATTACTTTTTGATAAATTATAATTTATCGTTAGTGCTTCGAGTAGTTAGAAACAAGGTAGTCTTTTAGACTTTGTCCAGAAGGTTCGAATTCGGATGCGATTTCAGGTTCAATGTGACGATTGTTTTATTTATTAGTAATTATTCCTTGCTAACGAGTAATGTATAACGATATGACGAAATTAAAAAGTAACAATAGATAGCCCCAGTTAAATTGTGAACAAAGTTAGCAAGTAAATTATGCTAAGAAAAATGAAAAATATGCTTATATCTAAGGCAATAAAGATCTTTTCTCAAATCTATCTTCAACGGTACTTTTCAGACAGAAAATTATTATTTATACTTTTTAAACGTTACAAAGTTTGCCATTCAAGTCTCCAATTACTCTAGCGCTGCCTAGCTAAAAGCGAAATTGGATATTCGTGTACTTCTGGACAGGGTGCTACAGTAAGAAACAACTAATATGGCTCACCGAAGTAAATCCACAGAAAGTTAAAAAGCGAAGCGCGGTAAATATCGAGCAATCAGATTGATTCAATCAGTGTGCCTAGTGCAAGTATACCAGACTCCTAATCCGTTGTATTTTTACACTTTGTGATTATTGAAACGAGACTCATTATAAATTTTAGTCATGTATTCGGTCATCGTCGTATAATCCCCGCAAATTGCTAATTCGCTTTGCCGCCATTTTGGTGACGTAATCTATTGACAGTTGTGTTCAACTTTCATTACCGTTAACAAAAAAACACTGGCTGAAACACTTAATAAGTTGGATCGAGTACTAATATTGATATGTTCATGTTGTTTTCTATTGTTAAGTTTTGTTTTTAATTGTTATGATTGACTAAACTGCTATAATTATTTCACAATAAGTAAACCTGATTTCATAAAAAATAAATATGTCTCATGTCTATTAAATTTTGTGCTGTCTGTACTTTCTATTTTCAAATAATGTCAGGTACGTGTTATTTAGACAAGGTTCTAGCGCATTAGCAATTTGCGGGACTTATATTTATCGTACACGTCCAAAGTTTTCGATGCCGGATATTATTTTCTGCGTTAATAGCTTTTTATGACTACCACGTGAAATTATCTGTCGGCTTCGACAAGAGTGGTACCGTTTGTGATTATAGCACTGATCTGCTCGATTCACCATGCGCCATATTGGTTGTACGTTGCTGAGGTTAGTTAGTTAGTTAGTTAGGCTTGGTGTCGGGATTTGTTGGTGGGTGACACGGTATGACTGACCCAGCTGCACGGCGATGTTCGAAAGGTTCACGTCGCGGCACGGGCCCAGTCTGAAGGTTCTCGTCATGCATGCGCACGTGATCGCTCACCAGCTGTACGCGATGAAGCTCCTCATGTGGTGAGTTTTTTTAAATCTTTATAAGCATTTATTTAACTTGCTAATACCACAAAATAATACAGTAGCGCAACTAAGAACAAACGGTCGGATTCATGTGCACACAGAGACGCACGCGTTTACGTGGATTTTAAGGGGGTGTCGAGGTGCGCCCTTGCCACTACAGGATTACTAGACTTAAACAGATTGATAGATCTCAATGAAAATGACACGAATATAATTTGTCGTGAACGGATATTTAAATATGACGTCTTCAAACGTGAACATTCGGTTTTTTAAATTACTTTCTCATATTGAAAGAATATTTTATTGTTATAATCGATATCGATTATAGATGTGTACAATATAGTAGTCACAATGTTTATTTTGTCACGATAGTTGTCAAATGTGTTTATTTAAATTACATAGATTTAATTAAATTAAATTATATATTTAACTTTCTGAATTAGAAAATATTTCCAAACAAACTTTTTTGTCTAGTCGGAAAATAAATGTGTCAATCAGAAAAACAACATCTTAATAAGTTTTGAAATTTTTAACTATCGGACCGAATTTCTTAAGTCTGTATCAGAACAGCCAAATTCAATTATAAAGCTTTCAGAATGAGTAGTAACTAACAAAAATACTTTTCAGTGTGCAACTTAAAGTATATATCAAGTAATTACAATCACATTAATTTTTTAAAATTTTAATGTTGTTTTATTACTAATTACTTTTAATAAAAAGGCAACCCTAACGGTCCAGTGCAACGTAGTTATTTATTTCCGGAAATGGCTTAAGTTTCGCTACTGTATTATTCTCTTCTAATATTAACCTTATGCTTCAAGATGCAAGTCGCTCGAGGAATGAAAGGGAAGAAAGAGATAAAGCCTAAGCTTGCGGGATGAATGAAAAGTATAACTGGTAGAACCGGAGTGAGATTTAGATTTTGCAACTGAATTTCAAAGTGAAATTTAAATAGACATTGAGTTTACATAACAGTACATTAAATTGCAAATTGAAATCATTTTAAGTATCTTAAAATCTAATAAATTTAAAATAATAATAAGATTCCTGATTGGGTCAATGTACAAAATTATTTTTTCCATACTGTCTCGAGTTTGTGTGTTATGGTCCTTTCATTATCTCAGGACACTATAATGCGAGGGGTATTAGTTACTCATATTGAATTTTATCTAAGTTATAAAAAAATATAGCGTGATAAAAAGGATAATTTTTAAGGAGTTTCCTATACTATATCGTTCAGGCTCCAGAATTTCGTAAGTCAAGAGCCTAGTCTCCGTCTGGCCGTGAGTCAAGTGGCCCTCGGCGAGGCCACTTGGGGCTGGAGTGGAGCAGTCGCCATCGGCAGTGGCGGCGTCGCCAGCGCGGTCATGCAGAACGACTCGCGCATGTGGAAGGCGGCCAGGACTGCGTGGCATCGTTTACTTATTGCCACCACGTTTATGGATTACTCTACAAAGCGATCTATGGCTATACTGTTCACCAAAAATTATGGTGAGTGTGTTGCAATATATTAGTTTTAATCGTCAAATTAATGGGAAGCAATAATATTAAAAACGTGAAGAATGATATGAGGCACAGTTAAATTTTATGATGAAGAAATGTAGAGAGCTAATAAAAAAACAACACACTTTACTAAAGTACACTTTAACTATCAATTAAAAAAAAACTGTAGGTGTCCTCATGTGGGAGTGGTACCCGGGAACCCGAGTATCAAATATCAAACAAATCTAAAGAAATAAACTCTTTGATGATAAAACCTTGATAATGTTAAATGTTTATTATTGAACTTCGACAATTAGGCTACTGGTGCAAGTAAAATCCCGAAAATCTAGAGACTTAACAAATCATTATAATGTAATATTTATATTAGTTATATGACCGTTCTCATGTTCTATATATGTAAATTAAATTTAAAACATCCAATTGATATAATTTTGCGTGCTAGAATTATAATGTCACTTTTATATTATATACCAATTTCATTTGATAAAGTGTATACCTATTCGATTTTAGTTAACTTTTACACCGAAAAAATATCGTAAGAAGTATTACTCTTTTAAAATAAATCTGAAAGTTTCGACGCGGAAAAACCTGATGCCAAGAGAAACAATGAATCGCCAAAAGATGAAAAAACATCAATTCCTCGGTTTAGCATAAAAAGTAGGGACGTAGACTAAATTTTTTTCATAATTATTAAATTACGTGGATACAATAATTTAAAATGTCGCAAGACGTCACGCTTTGGTACATTTTTTACAAATCTGTGATGAAGCGAGCCCTTACTCCTCGACTTCAATGCCTGTTGGCTAAGCTATTTCTTGTTAAATTGGGGTAAAAATACGTATATAATATTTTTCTATAATCTGAAAAAAATCTTAAGTATTATTTTTATATTATCTGACTGACGGACAAATTTTTTTTTTACCCAGTTTACATCCCTATTATTACTCAATATAATTATGTCGATCGCAGCGTCTATACTGAAGGATTTCATCCGCGACGACCACGACCACTCGTTCTCAATATCGTCGCTGTCGGTGCAGTTGTACACGACGCCCACTCTCGCTCACCATCTGATCGCGCAACACGACGCACTGTTCGTCGTCATGAACACGTTCGTTAGCGAATGTAACCGTCGGTGCAACAATAAGGTGCGTATTTGGTCCGCGAGTTGATTACAGACGTAAAAGAATATATGTGATTAGTATTAAATTTAATTAATAAATAACACTAGCAAAGCCATGACGTCATTGTTCAAATGAAGCACAGAGTGACATTTAAAACATAACATTGACAATAGGCATGTGGATTTATTTTGAAAAATCGATTCATATTAATCATGCCTGGATTTAATTCTGATAAAATCAGATTTTATCGATTTTAGAAAAATTTAGAGAAAATATATTTATGGCAAAAGACAAATAAAAAATATATTAAGTAAAACAAGCTATTTTTTCTAGAGTAGCTCGGTGGCGTAGAAGATAAGCGCCGCGGCCCGCGATCGTTGTCGTTAAGCAACTTTCGCAAGGGTCGATCACGGGATGGGTGACCAACAAAATTATTATCTCGAGCTACTCCATGCTTCGGAAGGCACGTTAAGCCGTTGGTCCCGTTGCATTTGCAGTCGTTAATACCCTCCAATCCGCATTGGGCCAGCGTGGAAAGTCATGGCCATAAGGAAGAAAGGCCTGAGCCCCTGCAGTGGGGACGTAAAAGGGCTGGTGATGATGATGAAGCTATTTTTTCTATTGACTCAAATTAAAAAGATGGGATTAAAGATGACCTCCGATTAAAACTGTAAACTGTCATTTGTATAATGTAATCTACCGCCATTATGTATTTTAGCTTTGTGTTACCGTTCTTCTTATTAATGTTTTGAGGGTATAATTTAAAATCAATTGAAGATATTTATTATATCGTAGTAACATGTCTTGGCTCATTCTCCATACATTATCGGACATCTCCCTTTGATTTTTTTAAGATCTGTTAATGGTTTAAAATAATAATAGTTCTCCCCGCAATTTTTTAAATATGACTTGTACAGTTTTAACCGGTTCTATATTTTATATTATGCATCAAAATTTTATTTTTAATAACTCTAAAAACCATAGTAATTTGTTTAACAAAACCATATTTAATACACTTATTTTCTATTTTATACTATGAAAAAAAGGCATACTTAAGAAACTGAATATCTTTAAATTATAGAAGTAATATTTTTTCTATATTGGACAAACGAGAACCTTAGCTCCAGTGCACTGAACACAAACACTAAGGACGGCTTGGGCGAGTCCCTTACCACCATTAGACCACGAATCGAGATTAACGCCGTTAATGTTGTTCATCTCTTTATAAAACTTACAGACGCATGCATATAAAGCTCCTTTTCACGTGACGTAATTTATGCTTTGCCACAGGGTCGCTTAGAGTTTGACCGCAATCACGTCTCAATGGGTTTCAAACGAGCTCAATACATACTGTACGACGTGAAATATCTATTGAGCTCTGTGCCAAGTGGCTTCGATGATGATCTCCGAAAGGGATTCTTACACGGACTCTCCCTTATGTTGAACCTGTTGGTAATGATGCAGGGCATGGACTCGGTTGTCAGACAGGTAAGACCTAGTAATAATTATGATATTCTAGATCAGTAACAAAAAATAGGACTTAAAAAATCATATCCCTATTTTTTTGCCTATAGAATCATAATAATTTTCAATTTAAAAACTTCGCTTTTGATCATGCGAGTAAACACATCTATTTCTCATAAAAATTTAACAAAATAAATAGACAAAATATTCTGTAAATATCAAATGAAACTTATTATAAATTAACAACCAATTATTTAAAAATACTTAGACATTCCTACTAAAATATGTCCGTTTTATAAATCGGTTCATGTAACACTTATTATATGTATTTCGATTTCTGGATATCATGGACTCGTCGAATCAGTTTTTAATAATGATTGAAGTTTCCCAATGGTCTTTAATTACATCTACGATGTGGAAAATTATAGTGAAATATCATTTTTGTGGCAAAAGATGGTGTTAGTTTTTGAAAAATGTACCTACCTACATATTAGTTTATAAAAATAAATGTAAATATTCAGAAAATTTATATGAACAGTATTGTGGTGTAATAGCAAATTGGTGTTTTTAAAACAAAAACTGGACAATAAAAAGAATGCAGTTGTTCCAAGTTAATAATTAACAAAAAACACTTTTTTAACTAGGTCGGGCAACATATGGAGTATGAACCCGAATGGGAGTCGGCTTTCAATCTTCACGTGAAGTTAGCTCACAGCATCACTTTATCATTGGAGTGGTGTTCGGCGGAGCGAGCTCTTGCTACGTCCGCTTATCGTATGGCGCTGCGACGTCATGCTGACACGTACACTCATCCACCCAAAGTTGTTAAAGGTACGCGATGCCACAGGTGTCTCAATTAGGCTCTATCTTGTTCTTTAAATATTGAATAATGCTACCACCGCTTATCGTACGTTGTTAAAAGGTACGCGATGGCACAGATATCTTAATTGGTAATTACCGAGCATTTCTGTGACGGATATTGTAGTGGATATAGAACGATTAGGAAAATCGGTCTGATTTTTATGACGTAAATATAAAATATGTATGAATGATGACGTAAATGATGTATGAATGTACATATATTCAGAGTTGGGCAACCAGAGCGCATCAGTGATACCATACGACGTGTCAGTGGAGCCGGTGTCCATCCACCGGCCTCTGTCCAGATTCATAGCAGGTCTACATCTGCAGCTGCAGCGGCACGGCCTCGGATATCATAGCAGAGAGTTCGATAGACCGGACAAACCTAAACCGTCGCCCGAGGAACTCATAGGTGATCCGTCTATTTACTATTAGTTCAGTTTATTAACAAGCTATTGTTTACGGTAATAAGTGACCTAAATAACTCTCTAACCTCCTGCAATTATCTTCACAATCACAATTATATCCGAATCAGAACTAATTAATAAATAAACCGTTAGAAATAAAAATGTACTATTTTGTGTTCTTTCGTGTTTAAGCGGTGTTATTTCTTATTAAATGTTTTAATTTTATTTGCACAGAGCCAGTTCTGCAAACTATGGCAATGATTGCTCAAGTGCATTCGGGCATGTGGCGACGTAACGGTTTCGCATTACTCAACCAGCTATTCTTCTACCACAACGTCAAGTGCCGCGCCGAGATGTTGGATCGAGACATACTCATGTTACAGGTAATATGCTTAATGACGTGATGACGTTAATTATAATAATCGTTTACTTTCTATTAAATGAGGTACAATAAAAAATGGAATAACAATTGGACGTAGTAAGGATCCAACCCACAAATTTGTCGAAACTCGAAAATGAGTAAAGTATACCAAAATGTCCAACAGGATCTATACTTTCATATAGGAAAAAAGCTTTGAGCTGTATTAAATATTTGACGTTTTTTTCAATGGTAGTTACCTTCCCACATCTTTGTTAGATTCATATTTTAGTTCCATGAAAACGACTCAAGCTTCTTGGATCCATATAGTAAAATAGCAAATTAGCTAATTAAAGGCACAAATCTTGGTTAAAAATTCAATAAAGGTTCAAAACGCTTGAATCATTTTTGATAAAAGGTAATTTTAATAAAAGGTGTAGGAAGGTAAATTTAGTAAGAATACATTTGACATTAAAAATTAAAACAATAAATATAAAGATCCTTTAATAAATAGTCTTTACGTTAAATTTTGGCGTTTCAGTTAATTATTCTATTATTTCTTTATTTGGATCGTTTTTGAGATTTGTTTTGTAAGAATAAGGTAAATAAAACCTAAATATTTCAAAAAGGATCCAAACATACTTTAACCTTTATATTTTAATAAATTTTGTTAGTTCTGTTAAAATTACATTATAATAAGATAACGTAAGTGGTTTTCTATGCTATTATATAAAAAAAATATAATACACAAAAATGTTACATTTTTCAGGGATTATAATGATATTAGTTTTGTCCTGTGACTTCAAGCGCACAGTAAAGTTTTTTCAATGATGAACCTCCTATCTCACTTTCAACCCCTTTTACATTAATTTTGACATCTTCATGACATCCCTTGTGATATGTACTTCTTGTCATTACATTTTAAATTAAGTCATATGTCTATTTAATATCCAGATCGGTGCCTCCTTGATTGAAAGCAATGAGTTTATTATCCACGTGTTGAACAAATTCAACTTGTTGGAATGGGCGGACGCTGACTTCGAGAAGAGAGGCTTGGAAGATGATCAGCTCCGATACACTATCAGCATGGTGGAGGAGTTCTTAGGTTTACTTATTACAGGCATGTATACGACACAAATTGAAGTTTTTATGTGCATATATGTTTTTAATTTGAGAGTGTGTAAAGTTTTGTGACATTTATTAGGACAAGTTTTAGTTTAATTTTTTTATCTAAATAACGTAAAAAAATTTGAATCTATTATATATTATCTATAAGATATTCTATTAGGGCAGTTCAGAAAATAGATTTTTCTAAATTGTGTCTGGAGGTTGTGGTACCTGCTTGGTTTTACATTTCCACTATACAAGTGCTTTAGCTATGTACTTATTTTGAGATTTAAACAGTGTGTGTGATGTCGTAGTATATTAAATTATCCGTTATTATTTAATACTTATATAAGATGTAATTATAAATATCATACAAAACATTTTAAATTTATATTATCAATAAACCTTTTATTGTGTCTATACCCGTTTCGTGCAAATTATGGTCCTTTAGATAAGAGCATAAAGTCTATTATTGTTAACGCAATGTTTATGTAACCATTTTTTCTATGTTTTATACAGTGGTGGGATCTCGGTGGGTTCCGGGTGTGGGTCAGGTCTCAAACGAGGATCGCACCAAGAAGGAAATTATCCAGATGCTCTGCGTGAAACCGATGCCACATTCAGAGCTAAACAGGTGACTGAACATCACTAGCTTGCCGCCATCGGCTTCGCCCGCGTGTTCCCTAGGGAACTATTTATTTGGATAACAATTCATATTATAACACGGATATAATTGCAATGACAAATTGAATAGTAGACAATGGTTAATATGGTAACGTTTTAAGTCCCTATACAAACTTCCACTTCCATTTTATCCCTGCATTTGCTGTTTGCATTTGAATAGCTCGGTGGCGTAGTGGATTAGCGCCGCGGCCCGTGATCGTAGTCGTTAAGCAACTTTCGCAAGGGTCGGTCACGGGATGGGTGACCAAAAAATTATTATCTCGAGCTACTCCGTGCTTCGGAAGGCACGTTAAGCCGTTGGTCCCGGCTGCATTTGCAGTCGTTAATACCCTCCAATCCGCATTGGGCCAGCGTGGAGGGTCATGGCCCTTCCTCCTTAACCATCCATAAGGAAGGCCTGAGCCCCTGCAGTGGGGACGTAAAAGGGCTGATGAATAAATTTGCTGTTTTTAGGGATAAAATATAGCCTATGTCTACCGCATTTGATGTAGCTACCCTTTGGTGAAAGAATTTTTAAAATAGGTCCTGTAGCTTTGGAGCTTTTTCGTTGCAAACTTTCGTTTCTAATATTAGTTGATACATTATCTATATCTTGATTTCGTGTTCATGTTGACTTAAGTGTACAAGTTTTATATTATGTTGTTCAAAGCATTTGCATAACTAGTTAAGGCGATATGATTAGTTGGAAACCCAAAATTGGGATAGAACCTAGCTTATCATAACAATAGATTAGGTCATCAAAATGGTAGCTAGGCGCCTTAACAATTTACGACGGTTATAATTGCACTTTTATATTTCGTGAACGAGTCCCCATTCAACTCTAAGGGTAGGTACGTTAAGTTTTATTTACATTTATTTATTTTACCACCTTGTTGGTCTGATTGATATCTCATATTATTCCAATAGTTTTCTAGATCTAAGGGTATCTGAGGGAACACACATAACGATACAATAAGAGTTCCTTTTATACTACAGAATCCTACAAATAACAATTATCAGCCCTTTGACGGCTCAGCTTAAGGATGATTGGCTATGGCGCTCCACGTTGGCCCAATGTGGATTGGAGGGTATTGACGTCTGCAAATGCAGCTGGGACCAACGTCTTAACGTGCCCTCTGGAGCACGGAGTAGTTGGAGACAATAATTTTATGGTCACCCATCCCTTGCGAAAATTGATTAATCTAAAAATTAAATAACAATTTGCTACGATTTCGTTCTCAGGTCGCTTCCCGAGGATCAGTTGCACGAAACAGGCTTAGAAGCGGTTATACATGAGGTGGCTGATTTCATAAAGCCATCGGGTGGTAACAATCGCGGCATATACAAACTGAAACCGCATCTGTACGATAAATACGACACATTCTTCTATCATTACACGCGCGAGGAGCTCAGCAGGAGTGAGGAGGAACAGAGGAACCGGAGGAAGGCGGCCGGTGAGTGATTATACTTCAAGATCACTGTTTAGGTGTTGTTCATTAATCACGTGATGTTTTTTATTTAGCATTTATCTATTTTCTCCCATCTTAATGAATGTATATTTAATAGGTATCAGAATTGCCAATGTTATTTTGTTTTGAATCAAATAATTGCTGCGCTAGCGCATTAGCTTGTTACATTATCGCTTCTGTTACGTTTACATTCAGCTCTTACCTCTGACTCTCGTGCTGCCGACAATATTTGCCTAAATACTGTTGCAAAGGTCGACAGAAGTGTGCGTTAACATACTGACCTACCATTCATTACGCTTTCGAGTGTTATTAATAGCAAATGATGACATAAATAGCTTGTATCCTATAAGTGTACAATTATAGGTTTCCGTCATATGTTCGCAAATATTAACCATTTTAACTTATGAGTATATAACAAAATAAGATGCTAATTTGGAAAATATTATTCTTTGAAAACTTAAAAAAAGTGGGGCCAAAATAAATATGGATTTAAATTAGTTACATAAAACGTTGCAACTATAAAAACGCACAAATAACAAAGATTGACTTAGTGCCTTGACACCGTATGACTTAATGCCTTGAATTTGTATGAAGCGTTTTCGGCCGACTAGCAGCAGTTCCACGAACACAGCACCATAACACTAAATTACTTCTCAGATATTAATGGACTATTTATTTATAAAATTAAAGCATTGCTGAACAGTTTCCATGCGTCCTTAGTTTTAAGTTTGTTATTAATATCCCAAATTACTTTTCCGTTTGTACATATGTGGTTCTAAGATTTTTATTGTGTGCTCCACTCGGACGGCATTTTAGTCGTCAACTTTTCTTGGACGGAGTAAAGAAACATACAATGGTCTCTCCTTCAGGCGTTCGGTAACTGACGAGCAGTATATAAACACGTTTTTCCGCTCGTGCTGCCATTCCTTTCAATTCCGTAAAAAACCTGGCTATGCGAGTATCAATATCAGTGTCAAGATTCTTTATGCCCACTGCCCTGCCTATTCTAGTAGTTGCGACTTTTTAATCGTTTTTCCAGTTTTTTTTTTTAAACAAATAAATGGCTATGCGAGTGTCATTATCAGCAGCATGAGAATTATTGTTTGAATACATATATACTCTTCCTGCTCAGTTCAGCAGTATGTAAACTTAGTTTCCAGTTATTAATTGTGTTCCCAGATTCATACAACAATTTATCTAATTCCAAGATATGATTATGATATATGGCTATATGCGAGTTTCAATATTAATGGCATGAGAATTGTTGCGTTTACCTGTAGTGTAAGTTAATGTTAAATGATAAAATGTGCTACGATTGAGACGATTTTTCGCATCTTTCGCATTTTTGTATGATCTGCGTCTGTATAACAACACGTGTAAATGTTTGATGAAGTGAAACCTTTTATAGGGCTTAATGTTGAGCTTGTGATAACCTCTACAATTATTTGTAACACTGTTGGTTTCAATTATAATAAGTAAATAAATAAACTTGGTTTAATGTTGTATTGAAAAGAACTCTTTGTTATTTCGGGCACTTACTATGTGAATGAAGTTTTTCGTTTCGCTTATATCGATGACATGATTTCTCAGAACAGATTCTCGAATGTCTTATAGTTTCAATCTTTCCAATACTGACCGTTCTTAATGTTTCAACTTGTATAGAATGTACTCTCTTTAATTTTTCGTTTTCTTTTATCTGCATACACGACAAAATATTATCAGTGGTAAACGAAAAAGTATATGCAAATAAGCAATGAATCACAGTTCACCTTCTTTTTGCGATTTGCCTTTTTTCAATGACGATTCAAATTTTTTTGCTTATGTTTTGCTTAGCGAGTTGCTTTAAAACACTCAACCATGCCGTAGACGACTTCCCAATTATTAATTTCCCCAAAGGTATGTTAGAAAACCAAGCCGCGTTTGCGGCTCCGTACACAGAGTTTATACAATTGGTGACATGAATAAAGCTATTTTGTCATAATTTAAGTTACCATACTCCTACAAAACGACTTGATCGATTTTGATGAAAACTTACAAATGTTTTAATTATAATATCTGATTGTCTATTTTTAAGATAAAAATGTTTAAAAAAACAGTTGTTTTAAATAGAAACAAACCTTTTTAGGGCTGCAAGAATGTTGTCCACCGCCAGCGTTGCCGCAGTTGACTCAATCGTTCCGTTTATTGGCTAGTTTACTGCAGTGTGACGCGGCGTTGCACGTATTGAAAACTGTATTAGAACGTGCCGTTGATCTAAGGGCGAGATCGTTCTCCGAGACACAAGTACACAAGGTAACAATTGAAGACAGTATATAGTCCATACTAATATTTATAAAGAGGTAAGGTTTGATTGTTTGTATTTTTTATATTGTGGCATCAAACAGTCATGTGAAAAAACCTACAGGGTCCAAGTTTAGTACAAAATAATAATAGCGAAATTGTTTGTTTGTATGTTTGCGTTGAATAGGCTGCGAAACTACTGGACCGATTTTAAAACGTCAATACACAAACAGCAAATAAAGGAATTCTTCTTAATAAAATAATAATAATAAGTTTGAAATAACTTTATTTTATTAATCAACTTTATTTAACATTTATAAAGAATTACACGACATTATTCCAAATCACGAATGCCAGAAAAGTGCCATAAACAAAGGATTAGTCTGATACCATAGACATTTATATATTAACACACAGAACAGGAATGAAAATGGAAATTTGTATAGGGATTTTGAACGCTGCCATAGTAACAATTGGTTTCTATTCAATTTGACATTGTAATTATAACATGTTATAAATAGATAACCAAATAAACAGTTCCCCAGGGACCACGTGGGCGAAGCCGCTGGCGGAAAGCTAGTTAATAATAATGGTATTCTAACTAGTAACAGTTCTTAATAAATTCAAAATCTTGGTTATTGGCTTAAGTGATGACAGATTAGTAAATACTTCTCTCGACTATGGATAGAGGTGTAAAAACTTAAGTTATTGTTAAAAATTGAGGTCTAAAACAAATTGACGATGTTAGCTTTATTATAGTATTCTACCCCTATTTAATGTAGCTTGCCGTAGGTGAAAGAATTTTTAAAATTGGTAATAGTTTAAACAATAAAATATTTCCTATTTATAATATTAGTATAGCTGACAACTGTTGTGAAAAACAAAAAGATTATAGCATTTGTGTTTGTGCTCACGAAAATATAAAATGAGTATTAACTTTAGTGCCAAGTGTAGACCATTATAAGTTATCACGTCACAATTTGATATTTCCTCTTCTGTAATTGTCAATTTGTTTAGGCGACCAATGATTAAACTGAGTGTTTTAGGGTATGTTCCGATATACACTGCGACCACTGAACAGTATGACGTCAATTTAGTATACTGGAAGCCCGTTCCTTTATAGCTAGTTATACTGGTGACTTTTTAAAACGGAACGCAGTCCAGTATACTGTTAATCGTATTTTTTGGCGCCATTTTCAAATTTGTTAATGCAAGGTGAATATAAACAAAGATTCCCTCTTTTCAAAAGAATATATTATAAAATTGTGTATAAAAAAAAATATTTATCAATTAAATCCATCTTATAATAAATGTAAGTATTTTTTTTGTTTATTTAGAAACTTATCATTTTCTGATCCTGTTTCGACTGATCACGTGATCAAAAGCACTGCGAGCACCTTACCTCGAAATCTCCAGTGCTCACAGTACAAATATGGCGGCAATTTATGACGTCATAAATTTCCCTAGGGTACTGTAGCAGTGTACTGGCAGTCCATAACGGAACGGATTTTTCAGCAGTAAGACCACTGCGCAGTGCTCGCAGTGTATATCGGAACATACCCTTAGTCTTCGTCATATAATAAAGCGGTGCGCGCATGGATATGGGTGTACACAGTAAACTAAAATAAATACATTTTTTTTTTGATAGAATTTAATAACCGACATCACACTTTTATGCTTATTATATTTATAATATTGCTTTGACTAATTATGAGAAAACAAATATTTTATGCTCGTTATCACGTGACCGCAAACAGCCCGTAACGTCACGTCTTTGTTACTCACATTACAACTCAGAGAATTCAACCTTATGTATACTTAGAACGATATTCGTTTCAAAGTGCCATGACGTCATAGACTCGCCTAGACAGAAGAGGCGTTTTTGCCGTAAATTTTGAAGATTGAATTTCTTTTAAAATATTTAACTTATTGTTTGAATGATATATTTTTTTTAATAAATATATTTCGTGTAAATCTATAAAATAAAAATATTAAAAGGGTTATCTAAATCCCTATTATTGTCATGTCAGAATAGTAGCCGAGTCGAACAAGGAGATGCGGTATCTATACATAGTATAAAACAAAGTCGCTTCCCGCTGTCTGTACGCTTAAATCTTTTAAACTACACAACAGATTTTAATGCAGTTTTTTTTTATGTATATTACAGGACCACGCGGCAGGAGCAAAGCTAAAGCTATTGAAGTGTATAAAAGAAATGTTGAAATTATAGATAATGATATATTTCAGGCGATCCACCTAATAGGTTACGCGTTACGCGATGAAGAGAGTGGTCATTACGAGTTCCTCGCGTTCGCTGAGAGTGCGGCGCGTAGCGGTCTACTTACGCTACTACAACGGCTAGCAAATAGCCCACGAGTGGACGCCCACAAACAATTAGCCAAGTGGACCCTAGCTAAGATGAGGTAATATACACATGTGTTATAACACATTGAATAAATTAATATCAGCATCATCCTTGCCCCCACTGCATGGGCTCAGGTCTTAAGGAGGATGGACCGTGACCCTCCACACTGGCCCAATGCAGATTGGTAGGTATTCACGACTGCAAATGCAGCTGAGATCAACAGTATGTCGTGCCTTCCGAAGCACGGAGTAGCTCGAGATAGTAACTTTTCGGTCACCCATCCCGTGACCGACCCTTGCGAAAGTTGTTTAATAATAACGTTTCTGGACCGCGGCGCTTATCTACTATGCCACCGAGCTACCGAATAAATCTATATAGGGTACTATTTTGATAGTTGACAGAACTATAAGTATAAAATATTATATAGGTTTTATGTCTGTCTGTCACCAGGTTATATATAAACAGGTATCTCATGAACTGTAATAGTTAGACAGTTGAAATCTTTACAGATGATGTATTTTTGTTGCCGCTATAACAACAATTACCTAATAACAAGTAAAATATTTAAGAAGCAGAGCAAAAATATTTTTGCTCGTTATCGGTACGAAACTATTCGTGCGCGAGTTAGACTCGCTCTTAGCCGGGTTTTATGTCTGTCTACACATTACGATTAGAGATGCACCGGTACTCATTTCGGAATCGATACGATACCGATGCGCATAGCGAAGATTTAAAGAGAGCTCGAAAAGTGTAAAAAGGTACAAAATTTATAAAAATCACCTTATAAATTTTTACGCTTAGTGATCAAAATGATTACTTACCAATAGGCAGCCAGCGAAATGGGCTATGTGAGGCGGATAGCGCAAATCTTAGATAGAATATAATGTAATATCTCGAGCATATACAAATTGTGCTGCGTTTACATGAAAGAATCAAACTTGGTAGTGGTGCCTCAAATTCGAAAGGTATCATCAGCATATCGGCAATTTAACATCACAGATTCTTATATCGCAGATAACTCGCAATATCGCCGATACTTTGGTAAATAATTGTTACTAAGCACCCCTTTTTTTGTGGGTTGTTAATTGATCGGTGATTTTACTGTATCTTACTTGACCGCGTGGACGCAAACAGTTTCATTGTAATAAATTATGCTGATCCAAGCAGTTCACTTTATACAAATATTTGATATAACAGAGCATCCTTATTACAATGTGTATGTATGTAATAAAAAATATTTTCGTCTATATGTCGTGGGCCAATCGTTGAATTGGGCCGATCGAGAACTGCCCGGGCATATCAGGATATGGCGCTTGATTTGGCCATCTATTATCCGCCATATTGCTCATTGATGAGCGTTTGACGATTTCCCCGACCATACTCAGGCCAATCGATTTTGTAGTGACCAAAGTATTATGAAAGCAGAGATTTGCAACAACCCGGGTTTTCTCCTACCGCCCATCACTGTTTGTGAGCAATTAAAATGCCTGCTCTAATTGTTTTTTTACTATGTTTACTAAAAAAGTGTCCTGCCTTTCAAAACTATTTTAAATTTAAATACAATCATAGTACTATCTTAAGTACATAGAATCACATATTTCTTAATTATAATATTTTAACAGCTCGGTGTCAGTTACTCTTATACTATCATCGGTCTGCCAAATTTTTAACCAGGGCCGATCGTGATTTCCCTAGCCAAATCAAGAAATGGCTGCATATCCGTGTTATGCCCGGGCAGATCTCGATCGGCCCAATGCAACGATTGGCCCACGACATATTTATCGCCTTTTCGGTGAATTCTTTTGTAATATGTGACTTTTGTGGTTAGGTGTTTACTGGGACAGAGCGATGAGAACGTCGGCGAGGGGGAAAGTATGGAGGCGGACGAGGAAGAGAAACCTGCATCAGAAGAGGCAGCAGGTAACTTGTCTAATATTACACAATTAATACCCTAATAATAGTTATTTTTTTTCTCTCTGTTTATAATGTTTTGATCTGGTAATGACATGGTTTTTGTAAATGTCATTACTCTTATTTGAGCTGGTGAGTTTCTTGCTCGTTCTTCTAATCAGCCAAAAGACGTCCTGAACGAGTGGTAGGGGAAAAAAATGTTGGACGATTCAAAAGTACTTTTAAGAAGTCTATTTGAATAAAGATTATTTTGACTTTGATTAGTAAGGAAACTTATAACTGTCATTTATTTACACATAGCTCCGTTCATTTTCTAATACGACTGTCATGTCGAAGGCAAAAGATAAAACATTGTATGACCACCAGGGGTGGGAGACTCTTACAATTGACTGCTGATATTTTTGCTAGCGCCACCGAACGGTAAACCCTGTAAACTGAAACATCAATAGTGATGTAGTAGGGCAACCAAACAAGGGTTTTATATATTATAACTTTTAGAAGAAAATTATTTCGATAATAAAAGCTCTATCGAAAGATAATTGTGATTGTGATACTCGGTGCGTAAATGTTAAAGTTTTGTTTGTTATGAAAAAACTATGCCGGTACCAACAGCTTAACGTGCCTTCCGAGGCACGGAATAGCTCAAGATAATTTTTTTTTTGGTCACCCATCCCGTGACCGACCTTTGCGAAAGTTGCTTAACGACAACTATCGCATGCCGCGGCGCTTTCAGAGCAACTCGATGAATTAAATGGTGTCTATTATTTGTAACAGAGGCTGAGAAAAATCGCCGCGCTAAACTAGCTGCCGCTAGACGTGATAAACTAATGGCCATGATGAAAACTCAGATGAACATCTTCATAGCCAACAACGCTACGCTGTTCGAGGAGACGGTCACTGAGGTATGTGATTTATATTTTGAGCATATCGTTGTTTTATCAAGGACATAGTTTGTGCCGAAAATCACTTGAAATAAAATTTATAGAAACATACGTAAGTAAAAATAAAACGTTTAGCTTGCTGATTTTAGAATGACATATATTAATTTGTTTTAAATAAAAAAAAAATTGAAAAAAGTGAAGATAGGTCTTTGATCTTCTTCGTCGGCAACGTAACGCTCACGACACTTTTGAACTTGACCTTGATTTTTGAATAGCGTAGTATATAGATGATGACTAATTTATGTCTGTGTTCAGATTATCAAAGAATATTTAATACGTATTCTTTTTTGAGTTATCATTGAATTGAAATGACGCATAACGTCACACCTTTGTACATTATCTACATAGGTGTGATGAACGAGCTTCCAAGTACTTTAATGCCTATTATCCAAGCCATTTCTTGTTAAATTGAATACGTATCTAATATTTTAGACTGAAGCACTAAATAGGATTTCTTTTATTTACCCAGTTTTCATCTCTATTATATTTTTATATTTATAGTAGTGTGTCGTGTTGTGAATCTCCGTCCGAGCACTCGAACATGAGGATTAAAGCTAGTAATGCATTTTTATAACCTCAAGTGTAAAATACAACTCCCATTACACAAGGTGTACGTTATATTTAGTGAAAGTCGGGTGCTAGTTTAGTAAAAAGCTATTAATATGAATATAGTTTCTAATAATAATTTAATAGAACGAGATAATAGTAAAAGTAGATAAGAAATGAACATAATTTTTATTGAATATGTATATTTCGTCGCTTTTTTAAATACGTAAAGACGCACGATTTTTAAACTACCAGTTAACTGTCATTATCACTTTGACATTGACGTTTTATAAGATATGCGCCAATACACTTGCCGGGTTGTCGCTGTTGTCAATGGTTGAAATACAATTGAAAACTACAGATTGTAATTCAAAAGAAATAAAGCCTTATCAGTAACCTACAGTTTACGTATAAAATTAAAAAAAAAAGTCTTCGTAAATATTTATAAAATAGTCAGCCAGTTTCCGAATTGAGAAAAGTACAAAATCTCAACTAGTTATTCGTAATAATGATTGTAATAGCACTGTATATATCATGTAATATATATACAACTATATATACATTATTTATAATACATATTGTAAATCATTATTTGATATGTATAAAATAATGGTATCTTTCCCCCAAAAAAACAAGCGAATAGAAAACAAAAGTATAGCGAGCAATCCAAAATAAATACAATACCAATGACAGCATGGCCGATCTGTTATTATCAGTTCCACTAATATCCGCGGGACTTCCGTCGTAACAGACGGGCTTTATACGAGATTTGTTTCAATTGTGTTTATTCGGTCAGGTGCCGTCGGAGGGGGGCGGTGATGAGTTGCGCGCGTTATATTGCGGCGCCGCGCTGGGCGTGTGGGGGGGCGGGGTGCCGGACTCCCCCCGAGTCTGTATCATGTGTCAGGAGGAGGTACGTGTATACATCAACGGGCTAGTTGTCTTAATTTATAATCTATTATAGACATTTGAGCTATTATTGAAGAAATGAAATCCTAATTGCAATTTTTTGACCTTTTCGAATTAGCCTAGTATTATTATGTCTCTTGATGATTCAAAATTTTAAATCAGTATTCGTTCCAATAACCATTAATAAATTTTAATTCCATAAATTGCTATCATAATCGTTATACCTTTGAAAGGGTTTGGGTTGGATGTTTTCTCAGTTGCTTTTTTTTCAGTTCAATTAAAATGGTGTCCGTTCATTAATATGTTATAAGTTAAGAGGTCCATAAATATTCAAAGATTACTTGCCGAATGTTTTTGGTAAAATAATAATTATTTACATTTGCAATCAAAAAATATAATTGTAATTAATCAATATTTGTACTCTGTATACGACTTCATTATACTTCATCGGTTTTCAATGGTTTTCATTTACATTTTATTTCCAACACCCGTGTGTGTTTCAACATTCCAAATAAAAAACAAATTAAATAACCAGGGAACTCCCATTCATTATTATCTCCCTCTGCATTTGCAAGGCTACACAGACTTGTTTTTGTGACATATAATTGCACTTTATCGAGCAGGGGATGCGAAAAATATATTGCGTGCATACGTGTTTTTATCGCTGCACCGTTTTTGTTCCGTATTAAAGGCGCGCGTGGAAGCAAACGGCGTACCAATGGTGCTGGTAGCATTCGTTCAACGGTCTAGCGTACTGAACCGGGCCCGTGAACTGGAGCCCGAGGCGGGGTTAGATGTGGTCCCGCCCACATGGCGCTCCGCCCACTTGCCCGCAGGCCTACGCACTCAGCCGCACGTGTCCTCATGCGGACACGCCCTCCACGCCAGATGCTGGAAGAAATACGTTGACAACGTACAGGATAAGGAAAACAGAAGGTAATGGACTATTGTAAAATAGATAATATATTTTTTTTAAATTAAATGTTCTTGAAATTATCTTGATGAAAGAAAGAAAGTCCATCGATTAAAAAGTTTAATCATGTAGGCCCATTCTACAAGTTATGATGCTTTTAATACAAATAATTAAAAATATAACTACCTCGTCTTGGTAATGTTCTTGTAGCTCTTACATCCAGTTGCACAGACATCTATTAAGGTTTTACTTTTAAGCTACAATTTATGTTGTAAATTTGTATTGGTAATGTCACTTTAAACAAATGAAAATTTTAATGTATTTTAATGCAACTGGGTGTTATACTACTTATTCGATTTTCATAAAACGTAGGTAAGAAAGACCGCGATGAACAAGTCTTTTGAATAAAAAAACTGCACACAAATCGGTTCATTAATTCAAAAGCTACGGTGTGTGGCACCGTAGCTTTTGAATGAATATAGACACACAGACAGACAGGACAAACTTATAATACTCCTATTGTTGCGTCGAGGGTTAAAAATGGCTTATATTTATCACTAAATTATTGGTATGGTAATTTATGCTGGGAGAACTCTAAGAACAGAGAATGCATAATCGAGCGTAATATAAAATTTTTAATTAATCAGTCTCAAGCTGTGACGATTATGCTCTCCGTAATGCCTTCGGCTAAAATGTGATTGGCATATTTATCAATTATAATATAGTATAAGAGTATAAATAGGAATCGAAAAAAAGTGGTATTTTATAATAACTTAATTTTTTTTTTACTGATTTTTACCCTTTCAATGGCCGTTACCTTTACGTGCTGTAATGCGCCGATGGTAGAGTACATAATCGATCACGGAGACACATTATGGCGGCTGTATGCATACATACCAAAATAAAAATCATTTCAATTGAGAACTCCTTTTTTATTAGAGTTCCGTAGTAATCAAGGATCCTTATAGTTTCGCTATGTCCGTCTGCCCGTCCGTCCGCGGTTTAGCTCAAAAACTATTGGTACAAGAGAGTTGTAATGAGTATACAAATTAATTATGCCGAAAAAGTGGTAAAGTAAAAATATGGTACCTCCTGCTCATATATCTTTAATTTTTCGTCTTCCCCTTAATGTGGGGCGTCGTTAGATAGAATTCAACCTATTTTTTTTAATGGATAATGATACGGTACCATTTGCGCGTGACTCCGACTCGTACTTGACTGTTTTTTTTATATGTAAACATTAAATTAATAGTAACGGTAACAATTATTTACCCAGACCATACCGACTACGCCAACCGGCTGCGTTCGACGTAGAAAAGAAGGAATACCTATGTCCGCTCTGCGAACGTCTCTGCAATACCGCGTTACCTTTACTTCCCGCTCCTCCCCACCCATCCGGTAGTCCCCCCTTCCTAAACGAGCAAGTGTACGCCGACTCTGTCGACTTGATACTCAAGTTGAAACATCAAGTGTCCAGTGAATCAGTCCACGTGTGCACGGAGACTTGTGAGGATATGCATTGTCAAGCTCGGGCTAGGAGTGTGGGCGCCATGTCTTCGGATATGGAGGATGGAGATACAGTAGACGAATCGGAGGTTTATGTTTCTACACACGCGGAGAATCTGCTCTCGTCGGACTTTTTAGTGCACTTCGAGGGGGATGTACTCGTTTATAACGAGCAGAATAGATCGCTCATTGAAAATTTTGCAAGCGTAAGTTTATTTCTTTTTTTTGATGTGGTTCTGTTTGCGAATTATCTGAAAAGTTTATGTCCGATAAGCATGTGATCTTAAAACGTTCGTTATTCAGTTGCATGTTAAAAACGTTTCTTTTGTGTTAGGTCCTTATCGTTTAGATGTTTCCAAGTCATGTCCTTATCTTGTTCTGTAATATTATTTTTTATTATTATTGTACTTTTGGATATTTAATTCTGTACATGTTATGTATTGCAAAATGTTCACCCATTGTTGCATATCACTGATTGCAAAATATATGTACTTATTCACAGATATTACCGCCTATATGCGGACTGGCCGACTCTGGTGGTATGACGGCAACAGGGGCTTTGTATCGCGCTACATCATATACAGTACTGAGTACCAATGCAGTATTACAAGCTGAGAAGCGAGCACTGTTAGGAGATCTCCCCACTAGACATAGAGATGCTCTACAAGTTTTAATCAGACTGGCCGCAGCGGTCCCTAGTATGTGGCAGGCTCCGAAGCATTTAGCTCATCACGCTTTATCTTCTTTAAACGTTCTAGAAATGACATCTCCTCTAGCTCACGAACCTTTCGGCACTTTAGTATCACTCGTTCTAACTATTCCGTCTCTATTCTGCAAAACTTCTGGCCCATCACGGCCTACCCATCTCGCAAGGATAATAACTATCCAGGCTTTACGCGCCCACATAACTAGAGCTCTCCTAGTCATGGACTTCTCCGATTGCAAAGGAGAACCAATGGAAGGCCAGGAAGACTTCAAGAAATCTGAAGATCTAAGCAATCTACTGCCACTCGTTAAGGAGTTGCGCAAGGGAGTTTTAGATGATAATCTGAATCCGTCAGAAGTGTGGGCTGCGGTGAAGAGGCAATGCTTCGGATTCTTGAGATGCTCTTGCTTGTTCTATCATTTCTTGAGTGATATAATACCGCCAACTGAATTGACGGTGTTCGGGGGTGACACTTGGGAGACTATGTGCGGGTATTTGGATGTGCCGATGACCTTTAAAGATCTTTTGGATACGCAATTGGCTAGGAAAAAAGTTTTGGAGTGGGGTAACATGCCGGCGGAAAAGTTGCCGCCCCATGTGGTCTTGGAACCGATCGAGCCCCCTAAACTGGTGCCTTTGCCTGAAGACTTCTCGGAGCTGATGAATGTGGTGTCGGAATTCTCGTGCCCTAACTCTGAGAGAGAAGACAGCAAGTTCCCGACTATGTGTCTGGTGTGCGGCAAGATATTGTGCAGTCAGAGCTATTGCTGCCAAACTGAAATTAAAAAGGTGAGTGTTTATTTTAACCGTTACGTATGATAACGACTAGAGATACGCTGAATATTCTTTTGGTATTCGGGATTTTTTTTTCTATTTGTATTCGGCCGAATTATTTGGTTTTGGTGCCGTTTTGGTTTCGGCCGGTATTCGGTGAAACCACTATTTGAAGCATCTCTAATTGTCACCATACACCTTATTGATTATAATAAAACAGTTTCATTGAAATCGATTGATATATTATAAACACTATGAAAATGAACACTTATTGGGATATTAATAACTAAAATACCATGATATGATGACTAACTCCTCGCGGGTTTTAGGTGAATTAAGAATTATTGTTAATAAATGTATTTTGATGTAACGCAGATTTTACAGTCACATACACAATTTAATCTATTGATAAATTTATTTCGGTAATGTTAAGATTTCATTTATAAATCCTTTTTTTATGATGTGTTAGTAGATTTTTTCTCTGTACAAGCATAGTGTAAAGCAATGTCATGTTCCGTGTTATAATATTTTTTTAATTACTTATAATATTATCCATCGCTTTTGAAACATTGTGGTTGTTGGAGGGCTGATTACTTTCTGTTTTTCAAGTTTCTGTGATAATGTCCATTTTGACGTTACCGGATTTGTATATTTCTATCCTTGTATAGTTGGATTCCTCGTAGTTACTGATCTTACCCTGTACATATTAGGCAATATTTAACAGAAATATACAAAATGTGTAGATAATATGTGATCCATTTCAATCTAGCATAAATCAACACATTACATGTAGGGGTAATTACACTAAGATGACATTGAAACTTATATATGTACTAAATTAATATATGATATATCTGATTATTGTGATGATATGATATTTAATAGACTAATCGTGTTAATTAGACCAACCGATTAGTAGAATACGTGACGAACTAAAATTGCTTACATAATAGAATTAATCTAGTACGATTGCACTTCAATTGCGTGATTAATCATTGATATGATACGAGATTGATAGTCTTGTGATCCGATTATTTTCAACGCTAATTTTGCATCGTTATTCATTTTCCTTTGCGCAAAGAACGGATTATAGTTTCTAAATGTATGTTATCGCGTGGTAGGCGGGTCGTAGCGGGGCGACGGAGCACGTGGGCGCGGCCGTGGCGCACTCGTTGCAGTGCGGGGGGGGCGCGGGAATGTTCCTGCGCGTGCGCGACTGCGAGCTGATGCTGTTGTGTGCGCCAGCACGCGGGGCCATGCTTCCCGCGCCGTACCTCGACTCGTACGGGGAGACCGACCAGGTACCACTATACCCATAGGCTGCGACCAGGTACCACTATACCCACAGGCTGCGACCAGGTACCACTATACCCACAGGATGCGACCAGGTACCACTATACCCATAGGCTGCGACCAGGTACCACTATACCCACAGGATGCGACCAGGTACCACTATACCCATAGGCTGCGACCAGGTACCACTATACCCACAGGATGCGACCAGGTACCACTATACCCACAGGCTGCGACCAGGTACCACTATACCCACAGGCTGCGACCAGGTACCACTATACCCACAGACTGCGACCAGGTACCACTATATCCACAGGTTGCGACCAGGTACCACTATACCCACAGGCTGTGACCAGATACCACTATATCCACAAGTTGCGACCAGGTACCACTATACCACTTTAAAATCTTAAAAATACTATCGGTCCCTTGCTTTCATTTAAGAAATATATGTTTTTGTTAGGAACAATCCGCACTTTTTCTAAAGTTATGATGATATTCCTCGTAAGTTTACCACTAGTTTATCCAAACGAATTCCAGCTACCATTGATAAAAATGGAAATGTGGCAAAACCGTCTCGAGCCTCTTGTCCTGGGGGTCTCCTGGCTGCAAGTTCCTTTGATCAAATCATAAATTGGGGTTGTACAACCTATCTTTCTTATGTCCGTGTTTTTTAGTCTTAGCAGGGGGGCAGGTTTTAAACGCAATATTAAATATAAATAAATAAATATTAAACAACATCACATACATTGCTCAGATTCCAAGATGAGTAGCTAAAGCCCCCGTATTATGGAGTATCTGAGACAACGAAGGTACCACAACACCCAGACTCGAGTAAATATAGAAAAGTTTATTTTCTACATTGACTCGACCGGGAATCGAACCCGGGACCTCAGAGATGGCGACACCTTGAAACCGGCGTGCAAACCACTCGGCTACGGAGGTCGTCATTAAGATTTTGTCTGACGTAATTTATGGATGGCCCCTTACAACAATATATATTAGGTACTTACTTAAGTAATCGGTTTTCGGCCGACTAGTATGAACATATTCAGTTTCAAACATATCAAAAGCAACCGAATACCGAATACTACGCGAATATTTGTAGCAAGTCTAGTTTGAACCAAGGTGACCATAGACAGAGAAATTATAATTGTATTCTACTTGACTTTGCATCGGAAAGACGAGTTAGGGATTGATTGGCATAACGTTCTATAGTCTATGAAACTAAAATTGTGTATCCCTAAAATTATGTGTTACATTAGAGTTGTCTCTCATTTGACACGTTTTGATCGTGTCTCTTAGTGTCGACGTCAGGTCTATTAGTTAAATTAAACTAGAATTTACTAAATAAACTTTTCTACATATCTCCAAATATTATTTACGATATCAAACAACCGTGACAGTTCTTTATCTAGTGAGCTAATTATGATATTTAAGATTGATTTATATAAATATTGCAGGGGCTGAGACGCGGCAATCCTTTACATCTATGTCCCGAACGATACGAGAAGCTTCGTATTCTATGGTTGAACCACGGTCTTCATGAACGCATCGCCAGATCTTTGGACAGCAATATGCTCGTCGCCGCGCCGTGGCAGAACATGTGAAGCGATTTTGCGCTTTATGCCGAACTACATACGGCTCAAATTGTAATGACTAAGTAAACACTGCGCGACCAGCTTCAATCTTGCATCGCCAGTAAATGAATCTGACTCCTAATTTTACCATAAATTGTCTTTCAAAATGAATATCTATTGGTATAGATTGTCAAATTGTCGCATAAAGTATTTATAGATTTGTAATGGCGCCTCGTAATTGAATTTAGACTCTATTTATATTGCAATAAAAGTGTCAAATGTTGCATAAAATGGGATTGAAAACCTGTCTCAAAACTTAATGATTTCTTTTAAAATTAACTTCATTACAGGATATTTATCCATCTAAATTCGCTTTCATATACTGTACATTTATCTATAGAGAAAAAATTTCAGAATAGGTGTTATTTTTTAAAATTATAATTTAATGTTTTGCCTAACTCGAGTTAAGATAAAAGTTACAATGGAAATATAATTATATTGCAAAAAATATCTATAAATTATTGTTGTAACTCTTTATTTCGAAAATATAAGGGTCATAAGAACTTTAAAATGTATACAAAATTTATAGATGTTGTGTGTAGATTTGAAGGGATCACAAGTAATCAGCACACACTAACAGTTGAAAATATTTATCTTATAGAAAACTAGGATCACTTCAAACATCCGAAACTATATTCGCACGACCTTACAAAAGTGTTCACTAACCAAGTGGCTGCTCTACAAAAAATAGTAGTATTATATATAGTGTCTTAATATTATTAATATTCAAATTAAAATTGCTATGCTTACATCTACCATCCAACATAGATATGTGATAAAATGTTAAAAATATAATAAAGTAATCGAAGAAAACAATATTATATTTTTCATACTGTTAATAAAATATGGAGCAATACACCCTATAGAGTTTAAATATAATGATTTTAATTATTTGGTAATGTTGAAGTTTCATCGTTTTGAAAGCTGATATTAATAGTATATAATAAAATAATATATTTCAAACACATTCGTCTGTGACATCAACCTCTAAATAAATTTAATAACTCCCTTTTATACTGCTTGCCTTGTTTAACATATTTAATGTCTTTGAATTTAATTGAATAAATAAAATCCCTCTTATGTAATAAAATTATTCAAAATAGAAATAAAAGAATCCTTTGTGTGATTAATACTTGCCACTAATGAGACACGATTCGTTCCTTAATTACCTGAGATAAGTGTCTATTATATCAGTGATATAAGTTTTTTTTTTTTTTAATATTGTATCTCGTTTTAATAATAAAATAAATAATCGTTTCCTTTTGTTTAACATTAAAAATTCAATTGTAATAAAAACTATATTGGAAAGAAATGGCATGTCTTTATAGCACAAAGATGAAAAACTTTTTTATTACGATTAGACATGTAGTCTGTGTGGCGCTTTGATTCATTAAAAAAACGTAATGTTTAATCTGAGATTGGTGTAACCTATTTTAGAGCAGGTTATTCAGATTGAACTTTACTGGATTTACCCCTTAAAAATTTGATGTATGAAGAGAAGGTAATGGCTGTGTTTTAAACTTTGGAATGATAATTTAATGTCGTAGTTACTGGGAATGATTGGGCATTAGGACCGCCAGGGCCCAGTATAATTATTATACAAACATCTAGTTGCGTCACGCTAAGATTCATATTTTAGATATTACGCCCATAAATATTATCGAAAGTAATTGACGGTAGCGTATATTACCAATGAAAATATTGTCTCGTCTTTTTGCAGGCTGGACTTATTTTTTAGAAAATTAATTCCTATATATTATAAAATAAATAATATTTGATTTCGATATACTAATATCTTAATGTATTAAAAATTTTACGTTTACAATTAGATTGATTAATTAACACTTTATTGCACTAAAAACAAACACATAAAACAGAAAGAAATAAACATATATGCAAAAGGCGGCCTTATTGCTAGGGTGGCGGCAATTTCTACCAGGCAACCTTTGGCTAACAGAAACGATACCAACCAAGTACAAATATAACGGGTTAGTGCTTTAAATTAATAAATATTCTTAACGAGAAAAGGAGAGAGAGAAAAAAAAGGAACAGATTAAAGGAGAGACAAAGTACTAAAATGAAGAGAGATCCAGCCTGAGGAAATAGTCCTTAACTTGTTTCACGAACGAGTCCCGAGACTGCGCACGTCTAATAACTACAGGTAAAGAGTTCCACAGTATAATAGTTTTGACGAAAAATGACTTCGTTACAAAATCAGTCGAGTGGGATGGGATAACTAAGGAAAGGTTGTGGGAAGACCGTAGATCTCGGATAGGATTAGTGGAGGAAAAGATAAAGCGCTCTTTAAGATAAAGAGGAGTATGTGGATAAAAGAGAATGGAACAAAGAAGTGATAGGAAGTGGCAGTCTCTTCTACGAGAAATAGGTAGCCAATGAAGTTGAGAACGGTACTTGGAGATATGATCGTATTTGCGTAGACCGAAAATAAAACGAATGCATAAGTTCTGGAGACGCTCAAGTTTATTTAGGAAAACGACACTTAGGTCGGAGTAACATGCATCAGCATAATTAAGCAGTGGCAGAAGAGATTGTGCAATAGAAATTTTAGTCTTTGTCGGCAAAAGGTTTTTAAGGCGCTTCAGCGAGCCGTACGCGCCAATCACCTTCCTGCTCACCTCACCAATATGAGGTAGGTATGAAATTACAATCAAACAGGACACCAAGGTTTTTGACAGTCTCCTGAAATGGTATACAAACGCCATTCAACAATATCGGTGGCAGTGTTCCATTGTTTATCCTAGTTTGATACCAGTAACTACCAATGATAATTGCTTGTGATTAGTGAGGATTGACTAACAAGCGGTGCCGTCGACTCCAATCTGTATGTATGTTCCAAATCATTATTGATAGTAGTAATTGCTGTAGGTAGTTCATCTAAAGGGGCTTGAGTGTAAATTTGCAAATCATCAGCATACATGTGATAGGAAGAAGAGAGAGGAAGCGTGATTGAATTTATGAAGATAGAGAATAGGAGAGGAGACAAATCGCCACCCTGTGGAACTCCAGTTGTTGTATCGCACCAATGTGAAAGATTCTCTCCCACACTTATGCGCTGCCGTCGTCCATACAGGTAACTACTAGTAAGGCTACTCTCAAGGCTGGATTGAGAAGAACAGGAATGAAATATATCTGAGTTAATAGAGATATTCATAAAATAATGAGACGATAAAACAAAGAACAACAAAAAAAAAGGCACTACTTAACTGGTATGCATCTCTATTACCCACAGGCAGCCACGCATAAACGCCATCACGCCCATAAATATTATCGAAAGTAATTGACGTAACGTATATTACCAATGAAAATATTGTCTCGTCTTTTTGCAGGCTGGACTTATTTTTTAGAAAATTAATTCCTATAGAATTATAAATAATATTTGATTTCGATATACTAATATCTTAATGTATTATAAATTTTACGTTTACAATTAGGTATAAAAATAAAGGAATTCTAACTCTGTGTGTAAGTTTTTAAAATTCTGGAATGTTTATTATTACTTTGTAAAGTTTTACAGATTATATAATTAACACTATAAAAATGTGGAGACAGTTTAACATTTTTTTTATTTTCACAGCGTTTAATCAATGTTCACTGGATGTAAAGCTTACACTAAGAGCCTCTGTTGATATAAAACTTATATAAATCTACAATGAGCTTTCATGTTTTATTATACTTGTTTTGTGCAATCTGTAAAGGTGTGTATCCACATAACGGGACTCCTCGTGAGACGACGACTCGCGATGCAGCTTTTCAACTACAGGCTCGTGAGGAGAAATATGGATACACGCCTTAACATTTTTATCGCCCCTATGTGTGTTGTTTTATTATTGTGCTTAGTTGATTATGGTTATAATTAAAATGAATCTGAAAAACTCTCTTTTATTATAATATACCTAGCAATTTATTTATCATTTTAAATAGGGTATTGTACTCCGTTTAAAATAATACTTTTAACTGTTTATTTTAATTTAAAAAAGTCAAAAGACCAATATTTCGGATTAATAAGCACGTTTTCTTGCCTTAAAATTAAATCTACGTTTTTTTTTACCCGCTAAAACGCTGTCCGTAATATGACGTCATTGTGATATGTACATAAAACGGATGCATAGAGTACTAAATTAAAAGATTTCTGTCTATAAAACAAGAACAATGCCATCTAACAATCGATTACTGAACAAAAAGATATAAATAAGCTAAGTACACAGCCATCTAAAAATTGATTTATAATCGATAGGTATATCTTCTTGATTAATCTGACGGTTTCACCACAGTGACGTCACAATGGCGGGACGTGTTTCAAGTCACGTGACAGACAAATAATCACGAATTCTTATTTTAAGACAATCAGATAATCGCGCTATTTTGTTAACTCTAAATCAGAATCTCTATGTTTATGGCGATGTGAATATTAGTTTTTGTTCAATTTCATGACTATTGCACATTAAAAATAAATGCTAGTTTAATATTTGGTTGATCCTAACGGAATAAAAGACTTGAAAATATAAAAATCGTTTAAAACTCCAAAATGAAAATTATGGTAAAGTTGGCTTTGAACGATTTCGGTAGTCTTTTTTTTTTATAAATCAATTCGGTATTGTCTTAAAAAATACAAGATAAAAAAAAGACCTTGACCCCGACGTGATTTGAACACGCAACCTTCTGATCTGGAGTCAGACGCGCTACCGTTGCGCCACGGAGTCACTGATAGAGTCGTTCAAAATCAACAATATCAGGCGTGCACGAGTACATACAAGAATAGAAATTTTTTTTTTCCTCATATATTACTCTTTTAGCAGAACTATATGAAAACGAGAATTTATTGATATGACACTTTAACATTGGTATTTATATAGCAATTGTTTTTCAAATCAATATACTCAATGATTACAATAAATATAGTAATGTCATCGAATGTACTACTTTTTAAAATGTACATTTCTTTTTATATATTATCATCAGCTTTTGCCTGTAAGTTTCTTCGCGTGGTACAACTTTAAACCGTAATCACAAAAAGGCATAAACAAACATTCTATAAAATGACTATAGGTATACAAAGTTTCATGGTTTTAGGTATTTTATTGTAGCAAAAGATAACCAAGAGTCCTTTCTCAAGATCAACACGAGTGGTTTAGGCGTGACATACAGACAGATCTTGTTAAGTTTATAGATGTGGAACCGTTCCCTTTATAGCCGAATAATATTTTCCCGTTCGTATATTAATGTTCACTCTTATGGGCGATCTTGTCGATAAATACAAACTTTTTTACTTCCCGTTAGATTCTTCCTAGATTCCTGCTCGGCATGCGCATAGCATAGCAAACAGATTCTTCAGAACAGGGATTTGGAAGCGAATGTCGCCGCTGAAGACGAATCAAGCTCCCAAAACGTCATAAAAGGCTACGTTAGTCACAAGCTGTATCTTAATAATACTGTTCGGTTTTACTAACGGACACAAAATCGTATATACAGACTGCGGTGCGGTCATGCAATGAAGTTCGCTAAAAACTGTTGAATGAAAAACTGTTTTTATTTAAATAAGTTTATTTTCTGTAAAAATTATTTATTTGATTTTTAAATGCAAATAGACATGAGATTATACATCATAACATCTCATAATTCATAAAAATATCTGTATAACAATTTAATCGTAACACGCTAACAAAATGTTCAAAAAATAAGAAATAGAGAATACAAAGAAATAGAAACTCAAACGTTTATACTATTATAATTCATTTTACAACATTTTTTTTATAAATCGAGTTACCGTACAATGAACGTACACATATATTTAACAATCTCCTATTTCGACAGCACTTCAGGTATAACGATTTGGTAATGAACTACAAAGTACAATACATTACTGTCAATTCAGTCACGACTTGAGTAAAGAATATTCTTAAAGAAAAATATTTAGAAAATTCATCAGTCTTCGTCCATGATGGGTTGAATGGCACCTAGGACCGATGAATATTCTAAGCATTTTTATTTAAGAAAAATATCAATATAGCATTGTGAATGGATAATTGACCAAATTTAATTAAGCAGTGTATGTAGTAAGTGCATGTATTCAATGTATAATAAAGTCAACCTTATTCCATTCGAGATATTGCGTGACGATTTAGATTTCGTTTTAAGAAAGAAAATTTATTTAAAATATTAAGAAAAGCTGAAACTCGCAGATACTACTCGGACGAATCAACATGATACATCGTACTGAGAACGATAGCGACACAATGCAAAAAAAATAAAACGATTTTCAGTAATTTAAGCGTTTAAAGTTCAAGAAATTGTAATCAGCCCCTCTAAGCAACGTATCGTCACTACGCCACCAGGCAGATTCTATGCAAACTACGTTCACAGGGATCTTTGCATTTTAAAGTTTATTCTTAACAAAGAAAAATGTTGCCAAAAATAAAAAAAATACGTCGTTTTTGGTAAGTGACACTGTCATTCTCAACGTGCGACATTTAAAACAAAATTAGGTTAACCGTAGGCTGTCGACGACTCAAAATTAACTGCTTAGAAAAGCAATAAAATATAAGTATTAAAAATAAAAAACATGACAACAAAACATAATAATTGTCCCACTGTCGCCCGATTACAATGAAAATTTTCTTTAACTAAGCCATAATACAACTTGTTTAATTATTGTTTGTAATTTTTTTTATATCAAACATAATAAAGTTCAAAAAAAATATTTTTGCTGTGTTGTCGCGTGTATTCCACTATTGTAGGCACTTCAGCAGTCTGAAGTTATATTGCACTATAGTTTCAATTATTAAATTCTTTGTATGGGTATTGTTCACTCGTCGAGAGTTAAATAAATTATCATATATCTGTTACTCGTCTTTGGCACATTTTATACAAAATGAACATTCAGGAGATAAAACAATACATCGTAATTATATTTAAGTTGATTTAGGGTCGGTGTAAATCTGAAAGAAAATCTATCTAGCGACTCACAAAACGCGACGGTTCTTCCGTCGAGAGTGCAAGATTTATATACGTATATGTCAGCTTTGACGTTCCGTGACGGCAATTACGCGACGCAACTTCCGTCGAATATACACCCTCAGTCATAGGCGCCATTCTTTCGACGATTTTGTTCGACCAATGAAATTATCCTATAGATATAGACCGCATTTTACATGCGGGCCTATCGGCAAATGTGGATAAGCCATCAGGGTAACGATATTTTTCAGTGTCAACAGAACAGCAGAGCGATTCTGTAATACATCCGAACCGAAATTCGAATTCACGTCATCTAGTAAAGAAATTCTATTGATTCCATTTTTTGTATAAAAATACAAAACAAAATTGCTAAATTATACCTGTCTCAGATATTTTATTCCTATATTATTTCGAATCTCACTTCACTTGTGCCACGAACCCCTTTTTTTTAAGTGGATTCGGATACCTACCTTTAGTCGCAGGGCTAGTGTTTAAATTTTAGTTCATATTCTTGTATCGTAGAAATACATATATATATATATATATATATAAATAACATCTTGATATACTAATGGCCGCCAGCGTTTTCCATTATTTCTTCGCTCCTAATAGTTGCAGCGTGATGTTATATAGCCTAAAGCCTTCCTCGATAAATGGTCTATTCAACACAAAAATAATTTTTCAATTCGAACCAGGAGTTCCTGAGATCCATATATTTTTTTACCGATTTATATTTTTTTTACTCGTCCTGAAGGTATATTTCCGTCAGTGTTGCACCGACCCTTATTCTATGTTTACACATGTATATTCTTATTGTTTGTAAAATAAAAAAATAAAACTTAAAATTACATAGCTGCCTCTAAAATAAATAACTAATCATTCTAATAAGTTTTGGTTAATTAAGGCTGCTCAATTTTGAATTTTATCTATTCTTTTGTGTGTATAAATCTATAAGTTTGTGGCGCGGTAGCAATTACCAAACAATTCATTAATTTTATCTATCAAAAGATGGCCTTGGTATTCTAATTAATGATGATTTACATAATTAATTTAAGTCTATATTGTCAATAATTGTATATTTCTCGCTAATAAAGCAATAATATTGACATATTAATTTACTGACTTCATAAATTTAAGTTTTAAAATGCCTTAATTTGGCCAAAATAAAATGTATCTACCTTTGGCGCCAAAACAATAATAGTTCCACCTTATATTGTTTGGGCCAGATGTACCTAAACATACTTTTTGACAACTTTCAAATCTTACTAGTTAATGTGAAACCTCTGATCTATCTGTTTAGCATATTTACAAAACTCGTGAAAAATATATAAGTTAGATAGAAATCAAACCTCTGAAGGCTCTTGGTATTCGAAAATCATGGACTATATCTAACGAAATCTGTATCTAACGTAAGTCATGGACTGCGAGTAAATATAAACATTCTAATTTCCCATAAATGAACTGAGAAATAAAGCATTATTATCATATATGAAAAAATGTAGGACCATATTTTGTACTATAAGTACCTTGAAATCGCTTATTATTTCCTCTAGTAAATATAGACTCTTAGGTTTCTGGACCACAAGAGGTTTGTAAACACTGATCTAAGGCATAATATGAAAATATTGTATACTTATAATTAAGTGATTGTATCAAGTCTTCAGTAAACATAGCCATATTTATATCCGTGAGTGCATTTGATGTATGTCTAGCTGCAAAGACAGGAGTCCCGTGGTGGCGCCGTTCGACTCTTGTGCCGAGGTAGAGTTACGACACCGTAACTCTGGTCGCCCTGGAAGGACAAGTAAATACGGCTCTTAAGACTAGTTATTATTATTTAGACGAGAAAAATGAATAATAGTCTACTTTTACCCATTCCATTCTGATTATAGTTTTTTCAATATAACAGACAAATTAATTTATCTGAAATATAAGTATTTGTTACAGAATAAAACCTATTTCATATAAGCGTAATAATTGCTAAAATGTACCTCGTATGTTCATAAGTTTTGAGATGAAATAAAAGTTGCAACTTCATTTTCAGTAATCTTCATTTTAAGATAAAAATCATTCAAAACGACCGCCCTTGTTTTTAATACAGGCCCTTAGACGATTTGGCCAGTCATAAATGGCGGTACGAATCTTTTTTAGCGGAATTCGCTTTGCTTCTTTGGGGTTCGCTTCAGTGACTCCTAGTTTGGGTGGGACTTTCGACAGGCCCTAAGCTCTAATTCAGTCCATAAAGAATAATAGATTATTAGGGGAGGGCCTCTCATCAACCGCGATGAAGGCCAGTACACTGTCCCTCAACCAAGCTTAAGTGCTTTTTGCCTTATGCGATAGCGCAGAGTCTTGCTGAAAAACCCAATCCTTATTGTGAAATAACGTATCAGACAGGGGTTTCACTATGGGCTCTGAAATGTCACTCTGAGAATTCTTGGCTTTCGTATTGACACCTTGTTGGCAGAAATGGAGCAGAGTGACACCTTCATACGAAACTCCCCACCATACCTTCATACTAGCCGGATGATGAGTGCGCGAGACATTCCGTACAGAAGCTGGGACATCCTCACTACTTTTATTGTTTTGACAATAAGAATTTAATAAGGACAGTAAGAATTTTCTTGTTAGTGAAGAGTATCTTCCTGGCATCATGTCTCCTCAGTAGCAATGGACAACATTCGCGTCGTAACTTACGAAGAAGATCGTTTATAAATAACAGCCAATAACATTTTATTTTATTTTTTCAGTAAAAAGTTTGTCTCAAACTTATGAACACATTAGGTATAATACTATTACAGTTGTATTGTAGTGATACAAATTAATTATTAATTACAGTAATTGTTGAATAAACAGTATGTATACTTCCTGAAGGTGCAGAAGTTGTTATACAATGTGCAATAATAATGTTTCTATTTTATTTCTTACAATTATCTCCCACAAGAGGCTCTCAACCAGAGAAAAAGAGAAAAACTCACATGAAAATATTCAAACCTGTTTCTTACCTCAACACTGATAACTCTCAAAGGTTGCTTGGAATACAGCTTATGTGCAAGGGTCATAAATATTGATTCCACATTGTCACATTCAGAATCTAGCAGAGCTGAAGTTTCAAATAGCTGGAAATCATAATTTATTGCTGCACATGTTGAAGAATAGCAATATTATTGTCAATTTATGCAGAATTATTTATGTAACCTCTTTAAGTCAGAGACAGGTATATAATCAGAACTTAGACAATTTATCTTTATGCATACAAAGAACCATATTAGTTTCAGAGGCCTGTGAAATTTTGAATTTAAATAAATTGAACATTTAAATTCAAAATTGACATATGAAATATCCTTATTACTAACTTACTAGTTTAATTCCATTTATTTATATTGAAGACTAATTATCTTATTATAAATACAAAGAAAATGCCCATAACACACAAGTGAGTTACAGTATTATAATGTTTATACTTAATACTTATTTAGTATTTATTAATCAAATAACATACTACAGCAGAGAGATGAATAACCTCCCTTTTTTATATCAGTTAAAAATACTTACTGGCATACCATACTTATCAGCAGCCCTCTGTGCATAAGTAGTAGCTAGTCTAGACTCAGGTGTGCCACAGTCACATTTATTGCCAACCAGAACTCTCGGCGCGTTTGTTAATCCGTGAGACTCCACTTCTTGCATCCAACTGACTATTGACTAAAACATAAAAAAAATGTTCAAAATATTTATTACAAATACTGTGAATCATTATACTCCCACTTCTACCCAATAATTATATCCTATTAAATTCTAATATAACAAAAATATTGTATTGGTGCTTGCGAGGTAGAGAAAAATGAACATCACAAGCACGATTCTTAATCCTTCCTTTACCGCAGTCATAAATGTGCGCCTGAGCACCATACCGTTATCGGTAATCTGACACTGGCACTTGAGCCTTTAAATTTAATAGTAATAAAGGTTTTTCTAGACCTCTGACCTGTGACACATGGTAAGCGGTGCATTTTTTTTAGCGCTTGCAAGCAAGCGCGTGGGAGACGTATGGCATATCATCTTTAGTAAATAATTAAAACATAATTCCTTAATAAACATATCTAAAAATACAAAATATTTCTTACATGAAATGACTCTGGTTTAGTCACATCATAGACTATTACAACGGCGTGTACGTTCCTGTAATAATGTTGAACCATGGACTTCCGGAACCTTTCTTGACCAGCAGTGTCCCATAATTGAAGCTAAAACAATATTATACTTACAATGTAAATAAAAATTATACAAGTGGTTAACAAAGTACAACAATCTATAATTTGCAATAATACCTACCTTTATTTCTTCATTCCGAATACGAATTGTACGTTCCCTAAAATCTACACCAATTGTAGCTTCAGATTTATCTAAGAACTGCCCCTCACAGAAGCGATAGGTAAGACAAGTTTTCCCAACACCGGAATCGCCGAGAACAATTATTTTAAATACTTTCTTCTGCGCCAACCCCGGAATTTGTTGATTAGATGTCTCGGACATTTTGAAACATTCTCATAAGATAAAAATGATGCAAATACAGCAAACAATGGAAAACTGTTCTTTCAAAACACTCACTAAAACATCAATACAATCACAGACCAAGAAGATTTTTTTTTTTGTAGATCTTTTCTTTAAAGGAAAGGCGAAGAGAACTTAGCCCATACAGCCATTATCTGTTGTACAAAATTTTTCTTCGATACAGATTAAGAAGAAGATATATGTTTTTTATTATTAAGATATTCTGATCATGGAAACCAGCCTAGGGTTTTTTTTAATGCGGTTTTGTTATAGGCGGACATTTTTTCTGCTTTGTTTCAGCCTAGGGTTCGAACGATATTTTCGGATCCGAGTAGAATCGATTTTTTCAAACGTGATACTTGATACTACAGAACGGTACAGAATGTGGGGGCTGGTCAGTAACTGACGTTGTCATATAATAGGAGTCAGTACTCATGTCGTGGTATAGTATCACGGCACACAGTTGAACTATTCGTAGCAGAACACTTTTTCGGCACGCAATCCCTTCAATTCCATTATCCCTATAAACTGTGATAGCTATTTACGGAATCATGAAAGGTTTAAAGCCACAAATGCTTTCGGAGCAGCAGATTTGAATGAGCAAGAAACATAATAAAAATTTAATAACTTAACGTAATGTTAAGAGCTTGGATTCGGAATAAAAATTAAGGCCATTTAAATGCACTAATCGTCACTTTATTTACCCAAAAATAATAAAAAAACAAGCCTTTAGCAAATACAGCATTTGACTTATTCACAATGCTGATATATCATTCACCGCACTAGTTTTTGGTTCGAATGTTTTTTGTTTTCACTTGATCACTGAATGAATGCCGGAATGGGTAGCTAACCGCGTATTTATAGGTACCAAGGTAGACTTTACTACGTCGCGAATGTTCCAGGTTAGAACCTAGATTCTAGGTAGGTAGGACAGAAGCTTGCCTAGCATGTTCTAGGTCCTAGAACATGCTAGGTAGGCTTCTGTCCAACCAGTGAATTCGGTTCAAAGCATTTTCATAAAGTTGTAGAATGGATTTTTTCCATTTCTTCCCAGTGTCCGTTCCTTTCATGCTTGTCTCAAGCATGGTTAGATGGTTAGTGCGACTCGATCGATCGACTTGCACATTCTTCGGCGTCTCTTGGAGACCTATATTCGATACGTGACATAATTAATTCTCGTCATAACTTTGTCCATCCTATTTTGCTTATAGCTTTGGCGACTTTCCCTTGGTTCGGACCGGGTTGCGCAGCCAAACTTGTGATTATTCCACAAAGCCTTCACTGTTATCTTTGTGGTCATAACGGGTCTTCATCCTGTTTAATGCCTGTTGCCCAGACTGTCGAATGTGTTCGGAAATGTTGTTCATTTTCTTCCGCAGCTCATTTGCATAATCTGTTATGTAGCGTGCAATATCCGGGGCAATACCCTTAATCAAGTCAGCAGGGAAATGTAATTCACTTCCGAAATTGCAATTATCAAGGTCACATCACAGCAGTGCTTTCATGCACGCGCTCCGGTACGAAAGAACAAAACAGTTGATTATGCTTATCCCAATCCTTCTGCCTGTTGTCCATTACTTTCACCAGATAACGTTCTAAAGTTTTACTGAAACATTCCAACATCCTATTGGATTATGGGTGATATGCACCATCATACGGCGTGTTTCTTGGAAAATTTGGGACACAAATTCCTAATTTACTTTGGTAGCTGTTTATTTCCAACAGAACTCCAAACCAACAGAAGACTTCATGAACCAGTTTCTCAGTCACTTATCTGATTATAATAACAGCAGGCCTACTTGTGAACTCAAATGACTGTCGTAATTACTGTAAAAACAGTGCTACTGTAAAAACTGTAAAAACCGCTAGATACAGGCAGCGTAGGACTAAACGTACTGGATATCTATGGGAGAGGGTCAGCAGTAGGCATCTTACGGCTAATGATGGTAAAGATCACTTGGAAGCTAGTGTACTTATGAAGTTACTGTATTATGATAATTTTCTCACCGTATCTGAACGCTGATTACCTTTTTTGTCAGTATTGTAAATATTTATTACTATTAAAATAAACTTGAAAATAATACTAAATATTAAATTAAATAAACATCTATGAAATAAAAGAAACTGTGCATTGATAGCAGATTTAACATGCATATTTTACAACTTTTCTCTTTATAAAACATTGTTTCATATTGAATATAATAATTTACGAGTGTAAATTCTTTTACTGAACAGTCATTCGTCATCGTAAAATAAGGCAACTAACGCCGAAACTAGCAACTCTAGTCTTTATTTGTTATAAATTGAAAAGCTGTTGAATATTATTCATGCAGCCATAATTAGGAAATAATATTTCAAAATGGAGGAATATAGAAAATTTAAAAAAAAAGGATAAGTACAAACCATACGTTCTCCAGCGATAAATTGATTAGATGGCAATCATCAGTCTACATGATCAATTGTTTTACAGTAAGAGTACGACGACACAGATTTTCGTAATTATAAATCAAGTTAGTATTATATGGAAAGTTCTAATGACATAATTCATTTATATATTGTGACAGTGTGTAAATCCTTTTTACGGTTCTTAATTGGCTTTGTAATCAAAAATTCGTTTGTGTTTGGAATGAAAACATTAAAAAATATCATGACGTTCAGACATTGACTTTTGTCAATCAAAGACAATAAAAAAATAAAAAAGTAGTTTTTGGAAATGTCGAATGGCTGAAGGTTGGCTGAGATTGCTATTCAGAGAAATACTTCGTAAATGTATAGAAATATCTGTTACAATAATTTTACAGTCATTAGGAGTATTTATCCTTAGCACAAATATTTTAGTATCATTTATAGTTTCTACTGTGGTATAGAAGGAGTGGCTGGAAATATAAATAACCTGTGAAATGGACGTTTTTCTATTCAGTTTTCCGTCTCGTAATTTGAAGTAAGAATTTTTTGAGTGGTTGTAAAAGAAAGTATCGTTTACATTCTTTAAAGTGCAAGTCTCACAAGATATGTTACGCGTATTATTGTTGGATTGTAGAAGTAACACATTCCGTGCTAACCGATTATGTGGAGAACAGTGGCTTTGTGTGTAAAATGTGTTCTAAGCAGATTAATTTAATTAAAAAGTGTTTTTGCGGTGATACTGTTCGTATTCGGATGTTACCGTAGGATTGCCATGTCCAGGCTCGTTGACTACTTCGTTATTGTGGGTTTTGACCACGAAAAAGAAAGTAAGTACAAAACATCAATTTTTTGCATGACACTGGCGAGGTTATGAATGTTTTAATTACTGTTTATTTTACTCTGTATTCATAAAATGGATAGTAACTGTATTGTATAATTTTTTCTATGTATTCAGGTAGATTTAGAAAAAGTTTAATGGATTTAAATTATATTACTTGAGATAATAAACTCATTTTTAAATTCATTTGGTGACCTTCAATTTAAAAAGCAACTGTCTGGAATCTAGCTTTAAGATTAGATAAGCATTGTATAATGAGATGGAATCATTGTTGTTTATGATATTAGTGTTTTATTAAATTTTACTGAGTGAGTAATATCACAAAAGTGTTTCTAATATGCAACTCATTATAGAAATTTCTAAAAAATTATTAGCAATTTTACCATACCAAATCTCAATTACATCTTATTTGAATTTCCAATAAGAAAAAAAAAATATGTATACATACTTACAATTTATATAGTGAACCTAGATTACATTGGAGACAGCAATTGCTGGCTATTGAAAGTGGTCTCTTCAAAGTAACCATTGGATTTACAGAAATTAACTTAATGACTGATATTAACAGTTTCTACATAAACTATCATTTAGCATTTGTCTTATCAAGATAAATCATAATATGCATAGGTAGGTTGGTGGTTGAATTTTCTGTAGAAACTTGAATAGCAGAGAATAACTATCTTAAATTCTATAATGATAATGAAAATAATCTATTAATATTTCTTTGTTAATGAGGAAGTATTTAAAAAAAGAACAATAGTTCCCAAATCAAACTAGATGTCTCTACTTTCTTGATTTCTCCATGACAACAATTCCAGTTTTCTTAAAAAAAATATATTTTCAAAATAAAAGTAAATTATTTTTCAAAATTTGATAAACAACTCATATTCTATTTGCACTTTTTCATATTTATATTGATATATAAGTTTCAAACTTTGAAATTTCAGTTTTTTAATATATTAGTTAAAAGGAAAGGAAATGACTGTCTTTGGTCCATTAGTTTCCTGCAAAAATCAACTTTTGCTAGAGCCGCCATCTAGTAAGGTGTTTTTTTAGTGTTTTCTTTTTTTTTAAATACTTCCTCATTGTCTGAAGAAAGATGATGCATTTTAATGTATCTGGTGAAGCCATTTTAACATTACAATATTATACTGGTAATAGATAGCAAACTCAAACTTTAAATAGGTCACGATTACAGCGCCATCTATCCGCCAGCTAAAAAAAGTCGCACGTATGTGTGCGTGTATATGTGTGTAGCCAGCTACCACACTATCTTGATGGTGAAAGGTTTATTTGATCAGTTTTTTTTTTTGATAAGATAAATAGGTATATTTTTTCTTTTATATAGATTGATTCTAAAAATGTTTAATAGTTATTATTCATTTTGAGAATCAATACATATATAAAAAAAGCAAATGTACCTTTATAACTTATCGAAAAAAAAAACACTTGGCTAATTAAACCTTAAATATAAACATAATGTACCTAAGACCGCAGATTATTTTTCGTTTTATTTGTTATGATTAAACAAGTATATCAGGAGTCATATTTATATGGTTTATGTTCAATGCTAACTATTATAAATGTTTAGAGCGAGTAAAATAAATCAATTAGTTTATTTCAATGAAACACTTGTTATTTTTGTAGCTTTATTAACCATCTTATTTCAGACATTCATCAGTGATCCACACACAGTTTTTCTCTTCCTACCTTTATTTTTTGAAAAATGGTTATGAGCCTTTACCTTCATTTCATCATTTCTATCCCAAAATGAAATTTTGCCATTGATTAAATCATTGATATTTTTGCACCAATTATTAATAAAAAATACTGCACATTTTTCTGTTATGAATTCTTTTAGTTGAATTTGGTGTTCTGTGCATTGTAAAAAATTTAAATATAAATTAATCTTTATGATTAACTCTATATATGTCAAAATATTTTTTTTATTGCAATTTTCTTTTAAAACTTCTATTGTTTTCAGCATTGGCAACATAGTAAAATAGGTTTCGGGTAGGATACCACAACCAGCTTTTGTTTTCAAACTCTTTTAAAATTATATAAGAATGAAATATCTGCTTTTCTTTAGCTTCTATGTTGTTTTTACATAATAAACAGTTTATATAAAAAAAATTCTTTGCTAATTGTGCTATCCAGCCACTACAGTATCCAATTGCTGCGGATTTTTCTACTTATTAAACTTTCTGTATTGATTAAATCAATGCATAAATGAGCATTTTCAATTTCAACTTCACATTCAGTGGGTATATCATCTACGTCTTTAGTCAATAGTTCTTTTAGTGTTTGCAGATAAATGCTATCATCCATTTCGCAATTTGATCCCACTGAATGTGAAGAAGAAATATTGTCAATAAGCAATGTTTTAAAGGCTCCCTAATTTATGATGAGGCGATGTTGGTGTCACTGCTGTCCTATACATTTTCCCCACTTTTGGTTTGCTAAAGCTGCCATTGACACTGTCGAATAAGTCATCAAAAAACATCAACATGTCTGCAGTTTCAGTGCATTCTTTTTCAAGAACTCCAAACTCTGCAATGAAAATATAATGTTTGTTTAGGTTTGTAATGGAAAATATAAGTTTTTAGTATGTATGTACTATGTATACCAGAAATTTTTTCTATAATAAATCTGCTCTCAAATATATAATAAAACATATGGACTCTAAAATTTCATAAAAATAATAATCATCATCATCATCATCATCAGCCCTTTTACGTCCCCACTGCAGGGGCTCAGGCTTTCCTTGTGGATGGTTAAGGAGGATGGGCCAAGAACCTCCACGCTGGCCCAATGCGGATTGGAGTGAATTGACGACTGTAAATGCAGCCGGGACCAACGGCTTAACGTGCCTTCCGAAGCATGGAGTAGCTCGAGATAATAATTTTTTGGTCACCCATCCCATGACCGACCCTTGCGAAAGTTGCTTAACGACAACGATCGCGGGCCGAGGCGCTTATCTACTACGCCACCAAGCTACTCTCATAATAATATTTAAAAATATCACCTGTCATTACTCCAATAGCAGCTCCAACAGTTTAACACCTAAGTGAAGTGTTTCACTCTCATTTTTAGGAATAAATATAGCACTACATGATGAGCTGTCAACTTAGGTGCCATCTTCACTCCTTTGTAGCCTGGGCATCTTTCATATAATTGTAGAATGTGATTCCACTTAGCAGTACATTCCTTTCCATTCATGTTGCAATATTTGATGTAGTTTGGTCACATACTGCTGCTACCACCGTAAGACCAGTTTCTGCAATTTTAATAATCATATTCTTTATTAAAGCTTTAAGCTCCAAAGCTTTAAGCTTTAAGTTCTTGTATTGCCACTGCAAAAATAATAGGCCAGTGGCTGTTTATATTTTTTAACAATGCCTCTCATTAAGAAAACAAGTACATGGTTACTGTACTATTTGCTTCATTGCTCCATTATCAACAAATCCTGTGATATTTTTTTTTTTTATTATTAAAGCTGATGCTTGGTGCTATTGCCATTTCGTCAAATACCAAGGTGCAGTATTTAAATTTATCTGGCATTCTCCTAACTCTGGATTTTTAGGTTGTCAAATAAAATTTCATTTATGCCTGCCTTTAACTGGACTTTATACAACAAAGTCTGCAATGTTTGTCTACTAGGTAAAATATAAAATTTTCTTAACAGACGATACGCCTTAGCTGTAGGTTTGTATAGCGATAGCGCTAAAATCTTTTCATCAATGGTAAATCAATGCCTTTGTTTTTTTGTTATTTCCATGTGACATTTGCATTCGGAAAAATAATTTTGCAGTAGGTGACATATTTTTGGAAATTATTTGGAAAGCAGAATTCAAGATTTAGCAAGAGCCAATTTTTGTTTAAAGCTCCTTTTTTGAGCTTCTAATTTTTTTAATTTCATCACAGTTATTTTATATTGATTATGGTCTTTCACAGAAACACCTGCAACAAATTTCATGAAATGTAAATTAAAGCCTCAAAAATAAATAGTTTCTTTTTTTGCATTATACACTGTACAAAACTGAATATTTTTCAGATTTGCAGATTGTTTCCAATTTCATGCAGCAATTTTCAAATTGGATAATTGAGATATAAATTTTAACATACCTTTTAATTTTCTTGGCAACTGTTGTTTGGCAACAGGTGTTTGTGTCTTTCCATGGTTTGTATGCTGACATGGAAATAATAACAAATATAGTTATTTCATGGATATCATTGGCTTATCAATCTCTGGCTCAAAATATTAAAGATTGGCCTATGTTACACAACATAGATTTGCAATTTTGAACAAAGGGACCTTCAATTTTTGTATAACTATATGTTGACTCATGAATTTTCCTTTATATAAAAAATAATATTATATTTAAGATGATTATTTAACTATTTTAATTTTCATCAGAAAAATGTTTACCAACCTGATGTGCAGGCATGTAGTTGAAAAGGTACAAAATGTGAGCTACATGGCAAATCCGCACTTGCAACTATGTGAGGTTCTCCAGTTGATTGCGCTGAACATGAAGAAAAAAACATTTTATAATATTTTAAAAATCAAAACATTAAAAATTAACATGGGAATTAGGAGCATTATTTGAACAATGGTGTAAGAAACTAGCTTTCGCCCACAAGGTCTTATATTGTACATATAAACCTTCCTCTTGTACCACTCTATACCTATATTGATGAAAACCACATTAAAATCCATAATGTTTTTTATAAGAACTCAGCTTATAGTAAACATATTCGTTTTCTACTATTTCATTTTTACTTTAAACTTTTTATAGTTTGAAAAATTATTCACTGGTCATTGTTAATCACATATGAAAGAATTTTAATGCATTTAATAAATAGATAGGTAGACATTCAATATGCAGTATTATTTATAAATAATAAATTACCTGACATATGAAGTGTAGGCATTGCTATGTTGCAGTCTATTCTTGGGATATTTATAAATATCTAGAAAATGTTTTC